TTTGAAAACCTGGTGGTCTAACATCAATTGTTTCATGATTTCAGTCAAAAAAATATGAAAACAATTTGTAACCTCATCACTCTGGATAACAAGCTAATATTACCAGGGTAGATTTAAGATGAGAACAAACTATTTTTGATGAATACGTAGTGGGGTTTGAATTTTCGTATGGCTAAGGCTTCATTAAACCTTATTATATGCCCTTTTACAGTTTTATACACCACAAAAACCGAGTTAAAATCAATCTTATGGCCTGTGATCTCAAAATTAGGGTGTGGTACATGTACCAAAATGGTTGCAGAATCAAGTGACCCAATAAGAGTAGAGGATAAACAGCATTACATAGTTCTGATTATCTTCGTCTTCTTATTACGTTATCAAAATATATGTCTATAGAAGGATAGAAAATATTGCATCATAAATATATTCGAGACTCTTATTATCAAATGAGGTTGCGCAATAATCAAGGGATAAAGAAGGAATATAAAGATTAAAATAATTTACAGGTCATATAATTGTCCATTTGACAGATATGAAGAAAATGATCTCATTGGATGTCACTTCTCTTTTTACAAATGTTCCTCGCACAGAAACTATGTTTTTTATGTGACTATATTGAAAACAATAACCTTGATATTTGTATTTCAAAATATTATATAAAACAGCTACTTCTACGATGTACTCTCTATGTGCAATTTAGATTTAATGATGATTTCTACAAACAAACAGATAGAGTAACAATGGGTATTTCGATTGGGTCCTCTCTTGGCAGATGACATAGTCCTGTTTGGTGAAGACGCTGACAAAATGCAAAGTCTTCTGGTAGCACTGAGCAACAATGCCAGAATGCTTGGAATGCGCTTCTCTCCCTCGAAATGCAAGTTGTTGCTTCAGGACTGGTCTGCGTTAACACCTGAACTAAGGATAGGGAGTGAAGTAGTCGAACGCGTTGACAACTTCACTTATCTTGGAAGTCTGATCAGCCCTAATGGGTTGGTATCGGACGAAATCTCAGCACGGATTCGAAAAGCTCGTTTGGCTTTTGCCAACTTACGTCACCTGTGGCGAAGGCGAGATATCCGTCTATCAATAAAAGGACGAGTATACTGCGCGGCAGTCCGTTCTGTTTTACTTTACGGTAGCGAAACATGGCCATTAAGAGTAGAAGACACTCGCAAGCTGCTAGTATTTGACCACAGATGCCTTAGAAATATTGCTGGCGTCTGCTGGGATAATCGGGTAAGTAATAGTGAGGTTAGACGCAGGGTATTAGGAAAGGATGGTAAATCAGTTGATGAGGTTATGAATCTTCATCGACTGAGATGGTTGGGCCACGTGTTACGTATGCCTGAACACCGATTACCACGACGTGCAATGCTATCCGGTGTTGGGGATGGTTGGAAGAAAGTTAGGGGCGGCCAAACCAAAACGTGACATCAGTGCTTGAAGTCACTAACTTCTAGTCTGAGCCATGTTGGTAGATGCAGACTACTTGGTTGGGGTCCGCGTGACTATCGTAACCAATGGTTGGAGACTCTTGGTGACATGGATCAGAATCGATCACAATGGCGTCGGTGTATACACTCCCTGTCTTCCCTTAAACTAAGAGATTAAAAGCGCTTCATATCTTTCTTTCTACTAACCAATTCTTTCTTCTTGTACTATATCTCTATATGCAATCTTTCTCTTATATATTACCACCTTTTACCTAACCACTGTTATGAATCCGGTGTTCATCTTGTTGTGCTGATGCGGTATGGCAACCTGGACCGATGCACATAAGTGCATGGTTCTACGTTGTAGCTGACTGACTGACTGACTGGCTGATTGTTTCATGGCCAATCTGGAAAATAAGGTACTTGGACCAATAATTGAGAGATTTCATTTATATAAAAGATACGTGGACGATACTTGCATTATTTGTGAAGATATGGAGTTTTGAATAGTTCCAATATTTGTCACCCCTCAATTCAATCGACTTTGAAAGTGGAAGCATTTTCTTGATGTTCGATTCAAAAGAAGGTCGGGTGGTTTTTTACAGTGATTTATATATATAAAAAACCGACTTAGAATAAGTCGTACAAGAATTTCAATAGTTGGGTCGCACTGAGTTGAAAGAGGAATTTAATTCACTCTTTATCCTCAAGGATTAGGCGAATATGTTTTACTGACACAATAGGTGAGGAACTACTTCAACACACTTATAAAGAATGGTTACCCACCTAGATTGATCGAAAACAACTTAACACCTAGACTTTATCCTGAAAAAGCACCGACAGTACAAAAGAAAACTTTTTATGAACATGGAATTTTAGGGAGGTACGGCCGCTAAAAACTTAGACAGTTTTCGAAACCGTTGAATAAAACGTTCAACTCCGCTAAGCTCCGAATTGTTTACTCAAGTCGGCCTACTATTCATGGATGTGTTAAGGATAAACTTCCGCTAAGGGCCACATCAATATGCGTCTATAAACTTACTCATGTGGAGCAGGTTACATTGGTCGCACGAAGCGATCACTTCCCAAACTAATCTCAAAATACTAACCGGCATGGATTTTAAAAGGAGAATGTAAAACAATTACTACTTATATACAGGAAAATTTAATAAACTATGAATACATCTCTCCAAAGTAGACTTCTTTTAAAATAATCGAAGGGAAGTCGAATCAATATTATATACACCGCTGAGGCATAGGCAATTCACCAATTCATATCCGAACTTTGAGTGCGAAAACGATTCTTTCAACCTCTTATCCTTCCTTATCCCTAATTCCCTTTTACAGAATGTTTTCTTTTCATTCATCATTATTGATTTTTCTAAATTAGAGTTTTGCAATTTTAAACTGTAGTCAGTTATTATTATTATGACTTTTATGTTCTTCGTTTTTTTCCTCATACCAGTCAAGTGGACAATTATCCGACCCGGAAATTATTTTCATCATTATATTTTTCTCTTATCCCTTGGTAATTGTGTAACCTCATCTAATAATGAGTATCGAATCAATTTTCTATCCTTCTATAGACACATATACTTCCCGTATAAATATAGATACAAAAGGAAATATAAGCTTATGGACTACCAGTATGTAGTCCTATCAACCTCAGATGTAAGAATGAATAATAAACATTCGACCTCAGAAAACTAAGTAAGTGATACATGATAAATCAAATGCTAGAATACGAAGGACAGAAATGACTGAGTCGTTAAGTATAACATCAGCGCACACTCCTATAAGTAGTGGTTTATTAAGATTTCTCCACAACTGTCTAGCAGATTATTCTCTTGACCCATAAAGCTTTGTGAATAATCTGTCCAACTCAGAAATTAAATGCTTTCATAACGGTTCTGTTTCACGAGAACACTGACTAAGCACAGAATGTTGCTTCATGACTGGTCTGAGTGAACTCGTAACCTAACGATATATGATGAAGTAGTTTGGATGATTCGATCACCTCACATCTCTCCGAAGTCTCATCAGTGATACCCACTGGTATTTTACGGAATATCGACACCGATTCAAACAGCTCTCTTGACTTTTTCAAATTTGCTTCATATATGACGTGAGTGAGATAGATGTCCATGTGCCAAACAAAGAACGATGTACTACATGGCATTTCGATCTGTTCTACTTTTATGACTGTGAAATGTTCCCCGTGAGCGTATTGAATTTTCACGGGTTACTAGTGTTTGATGATGGTTGTCTTCATAGCAGTGATGTTGTATATAGGGCCATTGTGTGTGCAATGTTGAAGTTGGATGCGTAGTATTAGGTGAAAATGGTGTATCGACTAATGAGGTGGTTAGGACGTGTATTACGTATGCCAGAGCATTGCCTACCTCAACGAGTTATGTTTTCTGTTGCAGGAAGAGGTTAGACAGAATCCAGGAGCAGGAAAACCAAGACGTAGAATTAGTTTATGAGATTATTTATTGCCGAAATTTGCAGCCTATCTGTTGTGAACGGGGAATTAAGAAGCCCAGACTACTACGGAAGCTATTTTCTTGGGACGTTATTTCATTTCATTCAAACCCTGTGAAACAGTTATATTTATTTTTGTCCCTATTTTATTCTACATAACATGAGCTTTCGTTCTATGTATCATTCACTACCATACCCTTTTATGTTCCGAAAATATTGTAATTTAAACATAATATTTTGCACCGTATTTTCTACCCTAATTCCCAGTTTCGGGCATAACTGTATTTTTCCAAATTATCGTACGTCGTGGTCAAGATATTCACTTATTTATTCATGTACATTTTTGTACTAATCCGAATTCAGAGTTAAGTGTTCCAACTGTCTTGTTTTCTTTCACTTGCGTGCTTGCCAACCAATCAGGTTCTAGAATAGTTATCTCTCTACCCCATCTCGAACTCACGCGTACTGGACTCAAGTTTAAGCCGCTCACGCTATCGCGTCAAGGTCATAATTTAGACTAGACAGATCAAGGTCAAGTCATAACAAGTATCAACGGGGTAAAAGCGATTCAAGATCATAACACTATCCGACTTTTTAAGAGACTGAGTGATTCGGCTTATAAGTGTTCGTGGTGATGCTAATATATCTACTAGTTGTCTATGCTTCAATTCAAAATTAAAGAACTGCCTCATACATTTCAATCCACAAACTCAATCTCTGTTCTATAGTTTCAAGATTTATTTCTTTTCATATTTATTATGAATACTGTTATCGCTTTGAATGAGAACTCAGGTGGGGACAAATAATTCATTGTTTCATACAAAACTACGGAATATCCTGATAAAATATGAATACTTCACTTGCAAATTTTCATCATTTTTCTTCACACTTCTGTATGATTCTTCCAGTGTACAACTCCTTTCTATTATTCCTTCAGTTCGCTTCAACTGAATCTCCTTATCCTTCTGCTGCCAGTCTTTCCACTTCCGATTTATGTTGCATACTACTTACGTCTGTCGACATAAGTAGTATACGCTATATTACTACTACTACCCGGTTAAGTATGAATGACAAATCAAATTACAGTCGACAATATTTTATTTACTGTTATTGATGAACATACGTGCAGATGAGTGATGAAATAGGTTACTACTGGTAAAATTGAAGAAAAGATAAAAACTCAAGTACACAAAAGAATGTGTTCACGCACATAAAACTTTTTTATCACACAAATATGTATCATACATACATAGACAGTGTGTAAGTCATGTGAAATTACCTTCAAAACATAAAATAGTGACATACCATGTGAACACTACTGACATAGACATTTTAATAGCTAGACATACACAAATGAGAGGTATAAACAACAGTATAATATAATGAGACCAAACAGAACCGGTATCGCCATTCAGCGTGATTAAGGATTAGAAAAACAAAAACAGAAACAAACGAAGTAATAACATAAAAAGACTAACAGAATAACAAAAAAAGGTAATAAAAATAATTATTTTGTTTAGAAAATCATTTCAATTGTATCTGAAAATCCAGTGTTAAATTTCAATGGATTATAACCACCAAATACTAAATTATAACGTTGATCTGATGTCAATGTTGTACAACAGCTAGAACGAGCAAATATTAAATTTGGTCCTGGACGCCATTTCCAAGCAACTGAATCAAATATCCATGTAGTATCTAAGGTTTGATGACCATTATATCCACCAACTAATAGCAAATTATCTATAGATTGTAAAATTTAAAAAAAAACACCGGAATGAAAAGAATAATTGTATGATATAAATTTTCGAAAGATTAATAGAAATCTCTCCTTAACCCAGGGTTTAAAGCTAGTTGAAATTTATTAACAAACCAAATTTTGAGGCAACTGATAATCCCCTGAGGAATACGAACTCATACCAGCCGACTAAATAGAACTACAAAAATAGACGGATATAACATGAATCACAGCTTCTAATACTTAAGAAGAAAAAAAAAGTTTGTCAAAATGGAGTTAACAATATAGCGAAATTCTAACACCAAAAACTCATTCCATAAAAAAAACCCAATTAATTAAAACAAGTTGAACTAAACATTACAGACTTGATAAACGTAACATTGATTGTAAAACATATTAGTTGATATGATCTTGAGTGGATGTTAATATAATTTGACATTCTAAGTGTAACTGTATCATGTCTTCAATTAATATTGTATAATTAAGCTCGGTAACATAAACAGAGTCACATCGATTATTGAAAATGTTATCTACTCTTAATTGTCCTTAAAATGAGTAGAATGGTGAAGGTCAAACAATATTGGACTTGCAATTTTATTTATTTATTTATTTTAACACATAGATATTGGTACAAGAAGGCAACAAATACATATGCGCCACACAGATCTCATTCGATATGTGTGAGGGCTGTGATACTGCCCGGGTGCCCAAACAGAAACAGGTGGTTTTATTAGGGAGCCACTTCCCGAGCCTTCGACATGAAGGTCTGACCCACAAGGCAGTGGAGCAACGTAAGGAGATGCAGTCCCATGGAAGCCGGTGACCAACAATTGGTTCATACGCCATTTGTTCCTTCAGGATACTGGAGCCCATGTGAACCATCATTTTAAAATCAGGTTAAAGCGCCGGACATTCGCTTTTCGTCCTCTCATTTTTGTAAACAACACCCCCGCCACGAGAAGGCAGTGAGTAGGACTTCCCTGGCAGAGGCTATATACGCGTGGCCATGTGAGAGCGGACTCTCCCCACTCTCGGCTGTACCAGGGCATTTGGGGGTACAGTACAAGAAAACAAAAAGTGTAGCTAAAAGACTTGGTTAAATTTAATTTAATGGTGTTGATATCATGAACCAATCTAGTTTAGACCCCCCCCCCCAATGAAAACATACAAGCGCCAAATAGACGTTCAATCCTAGTATGGGACGTTTCAGCAGTGCGTACCCTACGAAGTAAAGACCAATGACGCTAAACTGTGTCGACTGTGAGGCGGTTAACTACCGAGGACGATGGAAGATGGTCGACCGTTGGATCCTGGCTCACTGGTCTAGAGGTTAAGCGTTCGCATGTAAGACTGAAGTTCTTTGGTTCGATTCTATTGTGCGTGATCATGGATGGGTGTCAGCTGAGGGGTCCAGTATAGGTATGAAAAGGTCACTCAGTTGATGATTTAAAATCTGTAAAAACTTTATAATATCTATAACTTCATACTCTTAATTTACTTCATAAATTAGATGATTTCAGAAAGTTAATAATAGAGCACTTTAAATTCTTAATTGGTTTTTAAGTATATAAAGCGAATATCACATTGAAGTGTACTATTATCATTATTATTATTATTCGACCTATAATAATAATAATAATTGTTGTTATGTGTAATAATATTGGCATGTGCTTCATGCATTAAAATAATTAAAAAAAATTTTCATTATAAACAGTGAAGGATAGTATATACTTTATGCAATCATTATATTAGAGATTTAATAGAGAATTGTTTTATTAGGTCATTCAATTCAATTTAGTTTAGATAGTTATTATCTTGTGAAATAAATGACTGAATAAAGGAGGAATGAATAGATATTTCAATTGTTTTACATAGATTCAGAATGATATATATATATATATATATATATATATATATATATATATATATATATATATATATATATATATATATATATATATATATATATATATATATATATATATATTACTCAAATGATAACTTCAAATATGTAAGGAAAGCGTTTGGGTACATATCATGTTCCACTGACAGATTCTTCACGATAGTAATAGTAGCAGTGGAAAGAATACTATTTATATTATAAAAAACAAAACTTATCAACTTCACAATAGTAGAATCCAGTTGAAAGAACTCAAACTAATGCTGTTTTTAAATCATCACAATCTTAGGTTACAGTTGTTTAGTTAAAACATAAGATATCATCTTTTTTCTTTAATCCCACGACGGAAAAAACTAATAAATATCCATACTGTGGTCACTGGAACCAGATAAAGTTGCTTACGCTCTCCCCCTCTCTTTCTTCTGGTGCTTGACAGATTGATGAAGACCTCGACATCGAAAGGTGGGTACGGAATATAATGTACAGCTCGGAATCAACTAGACGACTTAGACTTTGCAGATGACCTAGCTTTTCTATCGCACACACACTAGCAAATGCAGGTCAGGTCAAGACAAACAGTGTAGCAGCAGTAGGTCTCAACGTACACAAGGGAAAAGCAAGATCCTCAAATACAACAGGGAGAACACTCACCCAATCTTACTTGATGGAGAAGCTCTGAAAGATGCTGAATCTTTCACGTACCTGGAAAGTATTATCGATAAACAAGAAGGATTTGCTATAGACGTAAAGGTGAGGACTGGTAAAGAAAGGACAGCATTTCTATAGTTGAAGAACATATAAAACTCAAAACAACTGTTAACCAATATCCAAGTCACAATTTTCAATATGAATGTCAAGGCAGTCCTACTATACTCAGCTGAAACGTGAAGAACTACTACAACCATCATCAAGAAGGTACAAGTATTTATAAATGGTTGTTTACTTAAGATACTCAACATCCATTGGTCGGATACCATCAGCAACAGCCTATTGTGGGAGAGAACAAACCAGCTTTCAGCTGAAAATGAAATTAGGAAAATACATTGGAGGTGGATACAACATACATTGAAGAAACCACCAAACTGGAATGGTGAAGGGAAACGAAAAAGTGAAAAGTAAAAGAACAGATTACGCTGGGAATCGGAAGCAGATATGAAAAGGATGAATAGCAACTTGAAAGGATTGTTCAAGAGAGAGTTGGATGGAGAATGTTGGTGGGCAGCCTGCACTCCTCCACAAGGGGTAACACATGTTAGTAAGTAAGTAATATTGTAGACAGTGTCAGTGTTTTAATCAACTAATTTAAAATTAAACAAAATGACGATTTATTTGTCTTAAAGAGAAAAAAGGATAAAATGAATGATTATTAAATTGAATAGATTGTGTAATCATAATTTATACAGCACGATTGATTTAAACATAAATTATTTTCTAAAAACCGATAAACACTACTTATTATATATGTATATATGATCAACTTAGTTGATCACTGGTTTATTTATTTATTTATTTCAACACATAGATATTTGTACAAAGAGGCACCGAATACATATGCGCCACACAAATCTCATTCGATATGTGTGAGAACTGTGATACTGCCCGGGTGCCCAAACCGAAACAGGTGGTTTTCTTAGGGGGCCACACCCGGAGCCTTCGACCTGAGGGTCTGATCCACAAGGCAGTGGAGCATCGTAGGGAGATGCAGTCCCATGGATGCCGGTGACCAACAATTGGTTCATACGCCATTTGTTCCCTCAGGATACTGGAGCTCATGTGCACCATTGATTTGGAATCCGGTTAAAGCGCCGGACATTCGCTTTTCGTCCTCTCATTTTCGTAAACAACACCCCCGCCACGAAAAGGCAGTGAGTAGGACTTCCCTGGCAGAGGCTATGTACGCGTGACCATGTTAGAGCATTTCGAGAGGGAGAGCGGACTCTCCCCACTCTCGGTTGTACCAGGGCATTTGGTGAACTTTAATGAACTGGAATGAACAAAATTCTCCTCCAGAGAGAAATAAACAAAATGATGAATGTTTCACTGTAAGATTTGCGAAAAGATGAATAAATTTCATAAAAGGAAAAATAATAATAAAGTAACTAAAATTTATTTAAAAAAATAGCTAAAAGTTAACAAACTAATAGTATAGTATACAATCGGATATAATAGTATACGGACTATTTAAATATTTAAGTTAGTGAAGAAGAAGCAGATCTGAAGTTTAAGTGGATGAATAGTAGACGCTAACGATGTTGTTGTTAAGAAAGCTAATGAAAGCTCTATCATTTAACCATGTAGCTTAGAAGATATAACCTTATTAAATATATAAGATAATTGAATTTATTTATTCAATAAAGATTTATGCATTTGAAACTTTTAGTTATGTAACAGTTAGTACTATTTTCTGTCAACTATACAACAGTAAAATCGGTCGACAGAGAGAGAGAGAGAGAGCAATCAATGTTAAACAACTTTCTAATAATTAGGCAGACAAGTTTAGAATTGTAACCAGGACCAAAACAAAAAAATAATCAAAAGTGAAAGAATGGTGATTTATTAAAGAAAATTAATCAGTTAATATGAAATTAAACTGATTCCAAAGTTTCATTGAAAACTTTAAAGAATTTCTAATTGAAGTTAATTCATTACATAAGTATGTTTTAATTAAGTAATTTTGTGTAGAAAAAAAATTCTTTGTTAAGAAAAAGAACTGATTTTGTATACTAATAAATTAGTTTGTTCATTGTTAAATCATAATAATTCACTACTGAAATATTGAAATGTTTCTATTTATTTTCGAATAAATATGAACCATTTATTTATTTAAATTTGTCTAGATTTAAAATTCCCCCAAATGCCCCGGTGTGGCCGAGAGTGGGGAGAGTTCGCTCTCTCTCACTCTCGAAATGCTCTCACATGGTCACGCGTAAATAGCCTATCCCAAGGAAGTTCTGCTAACTGCCTTCTCGTGGTGAGGGGTGTTGTTTACGAAATTGAGAGGACAAAAAGCGAATGTACGGCGCTTTAACCGCGTTCGTGGACACGGAGGATCCAACCTTGGGGAGTTGGGAAACCCTGATTCTAAACCAATGATGCACATAGGCTCCAGTATCCTGAGGGGACATATGACGTATGAACCAATGAGTAGCCATCGGTTACCATGAGAATACATATCCTTACGTTGTTCCATTGCCTTGTGGGTCAGACCTCTAGGTCAAAGGCTCGGGGTGTGGCCCTCTAAGAAAACCACCTGCTTCGGTCTGAGCACTCGGGTAGTAGCACAGCCTTCACGCAAATTCGATGAGATTATAATTATTCCACAAAATACTATGCTCGCTCCGATCAGAATTCAGACATTTCAAATTCACCTTTATTATTATTACTATTTATTTATATACAGCATCACTTATCTATCTCGGTGTGGCGCATATGTATCTGGTGCTCAAATAAATAAATAAGCTTTAAAATAAAATATACTGACCTTTAGAATTCGGACAATATGTTAAACTGGCACCACGAAGTTGTCCGAATGAATTTCCTAATGTATTAGGAATATAAAACCAAGTATCACAACGAGGATCTAATGCTTCAACAGTTACATTTTGACTAGTATTATATATAGTGTTTGTATTGACAACTCCACCGACAACAACAATTAGATTTCGTGATGTCAAAACATTAGCACATGCTTCACAACGACCTATTTTGGTTATACAGAAAAAAACAACAGATTATCAATAATTCAATTATAATGTAACTATATCCATTCTATGGGAAATTCATTTTTAAATCATGGGTGTTTGTTAGCTACAATAATATTTATTCAAAGAATGTATGAAAGTAATTCCTAGTTGGACAAAGTTATCTTGAAAGATGATGGATTTTATTCTTATAAACAAACTTAATTGAGATCAAATCACATCATAATATATAGAGGGAGAAGATTTTATGTTTTGTTCATGACAATAAACTTGTAAGTTTCTTCTTTTTGTTTCATTGCATCAACGGAATTTCTATTTCAAATCTACAGTTTAGTCACAGAAAGAAATATGCACCGTTCGATTAGACTTCTTTTATGGGATAAGTTAATTACAGTTTGTGAAAGCATTCGACACATAACAACAGTCGGTTTTCATTGGATTAATTATATAAATACTAATTTCATACTGACTATAACAGTCCTCTATGGTATGATCACAAATAATTCATTTATCAATGATGGGAATATGTTAAAAAAATTTTGACAATCCTCTGATACGAAATGATTTTTATAAAAAAAGGTGATCCAAATGAGTAAAAGACATGACATGTGAGGTTGGTGATAAGTTTGATAATTACACTCGATCTCATTTCTTGTCCGCCATTAATATCCGCAAACTAAATCATCTATGGGACTACTTGAACACAAGTAAAATAAAGCTTGAGTTTAAAGTTAAGGAATATATGGAAAATCGTACGTCTTTATACTGTTTAATGTAATCTTGATCGTTTAGAAAGTTCTAAATCATGCTAGATATGGCATCAAGAAAGTTCTTATCCGACCAAAAACTTGACACGTAATCTGTCATCCTTCTAGGTGTTTCGAAGATACCTCTATTCAATCCTGGTCGGATAAAATGTTTCCCAAACAGTTAGAGCTATTGAAAACTAATACTTAAAAATAAAATAAATATGATGAAATCAGTGCATACAAAGTAGCAATTATATTTCACAATGACTGTAATATTTCTGCAATGGAAATCTAATAATACTTGATAAGGCATTATCGTACCTTGTAACATGGACGGCATATAAATCCATTCATCTCTATCTGGAATGTAGGCTTCAACAGAAGATAGAAACTGTGCGTCTGATACTCCACCAGCAACAAGGACTGATCCCTTTGTATTTGTGATAAGTGGTCCTTGTTGAAGTCCACTAAGATCTACGCCAACTGGATTAGTTCGAGCTTCATGTAAACTCTTTATCGTCTGCCAAAATGTAACATTTGATAGACCACATCCATTTGAAGACGCATGACTATGTGCCATTGAATCTGTTCGTGTACGGAAATCAGAACTTTTTCGAGAGCCATTTGTATACGCGTGATCGTCAAAGTTATCATGATGGCTTTTGGTTACCACTTCATGACTGATAAGCCAGGACCCCAGTGCCTCACATGTTAGTCTACAAACGTATATAAAAATGGTACGAATCTAAAAAAGGATAAGCTATATGACTTAAACAATACGATATGATGAACGTAGAGCATAAAGACAAATTGCTGAATAAATTACTTCGAGGTTAATATTGATATAAATTTCACAAAGAAAACATGGATATCTGAAAATTAACCAGTAAATTGTAGTAAAAAAACTAAGGCAATTATCCAGTAGAGCCACTGGAAGATGGTTGCACAAAGTCGCAAATTGACTGAGGTTAAACAACATGAACCAGTGGATGCCGACTAAGTGGTCTAAAAGTTAGACGACCATCAACAAACCTGAAGGTTCTGGGTTCGATCCACAGTAAGGTCAGTCAGTCATACAAAACTCAGAATATGGTATATATGTACATTAGATCAAGTTGCTACAACCCATTAGCACAGAGAGATGTCGGAATAGTACAATAGGTAACACTATTAGTGGTAGTAGAAAAAATCAGATCCCGAAAATATGATTCGAGAAGACAGTACGGATTCATGATATAAAAAAGATCTAAAATAATTAAGAAACTAAAGATCTATGAAAAGGTTGTGAGTGAGTAAACCTGTGCAATTGAGAATGATACTGAGCTTTGTGAACTAATATCTACAGCTATTTGTGACCATTATCGTGCGAAACACAACACAGTCTACACACCCAGATACACAACTTATCACTGAAAAGTCCTAGCTTGGGATAAATTAGTTGTTCAGAAACCACTGGTTTTCTAACTAAGGTCAGTTCCTGATTTTAACCATGAAACTCAACAATCTTCAAAGTCCCTTTACATTATTAAAATCTATCTGTCTGTTACCTTAAGTGGAAATTCGATATATCAAGCCTCTTTACAAAACATACAATTCTATAAGAATATATATCTTTGTTAGATTAGAAAAGAAAATTATTTGACTATCTTATTTCAAATACAACAACGTCTTACAGAAGCGTTTGGCGCTTCGATTAGAACCTATATAATAAGAGTAATAGTTTTAGCACACAAACGATAGTTTATTTCATATAACACTAAGGGATTCATTGTAAAAATCTGTCTACTTTAAGAGAGAAAAAAGTCTATAGAAAAATCCTATTTAGGATAGTGATCTCATTTACCCGCGAAAATATATTTTCAAAAAACAAAATACGAGACAAATTGAATTGATACAATTGCGTAAACTTGTAAAATCATAGAAAAACTATATCACAATTATAAATTAGATAGTTATTTAACTGATCTGTATTGAAAGTGTTGTTTTATTGAAAATAAATTATATTAATTTTTTTAAAGGTCAAAATTGCTTTGAATTCAAGTCATTTTATTAAGGAAAGGAATGTTTGAGTAAAAAAAAAAGAGAAAAAACGAACGAAGAAATGAATAAACTGAATAAACTTTCAGAGAAGATCTCATTGATGTTACTTTCAAACAAACAAACAAACAAACGAACAAACAAGACAATTACTAATTCAAAGATAAATGTTACTAAGAAGAAAAGAATAGAAGAATATATATATATTCAAACAAATTGATATATTCAATGACTTGTTTATCTGCAAACGTTGAGATTAAATTTAAATAAACCAGTATTGGGCAGTCTACTATTAAATATAAACAATAGGATTTATGTTTGAGTAGGATCAAAAATAATGAAATATATCCTATTGTTACGAGAGAAGAAAAAAACCATATTATTACAACAGGTTAAGGTTCTATCTAACAAATCACAAGTTGAATTTAAAAATATTCAGTAGTTAAAACAATTGTGTTAGCTTGATCTTAAATCTCTGTAGCTTCCTTGATAGTTTATTAAGCATAATTTCATAAGTGTGATCGAATACGAACAACTGAAAAGTGTGTTCTCCTCTCTCTTATAGGGCAAGTTAAACCACTGGAGAAAATTAGAAAATGAAGTGTTAGACAGTATGTCGACTATATGATATCCAAACATTATAAGTTTTACAATTCGATTTCACAGTCTAATATCTACCAAGAGAGATGCAGACCGGTTCGAAACATAATTTATAGATTTTGAGAGAAATGAACCTCGTGATTTGTACAATATTCCTGATATTTGTGGCAAAAGTGTGGTATATTGACGCCATTGAGAAACTTTAATTTAAAGCCAACGAGAATACAGTTGATACATCTGAATAAATCAATGTGGAATAATCAAAGAATTTAGAATGTATACACGGTTTCCACATGTTGGATGAACTTAGATTCTGTGGATCCTCAAGACTAGTCACAATGTGCTCGGTATATTTATACATATACTCCTTCATATCATTTGACCTGTAGATCCCTTATAAGGCTGAAGAAAGTTTTCCACTTGTTTCCATATATCTTCTACGTTGTTAGTGTGAACACTAATTGTTGGGTCCACAAAAATATGCCTGTATATCACCACATGATGAATATATCTGTATCTGTGAAGACACTGAAACGTTCTCCAATCATTTGTGTAGATTTTCGTTCCTGGTTGTATATACTGTTTAATGACTGACAAGAGACCTGAGGCCTTTCTGTTTCAAACGTTAAGAAAGTGTCGTTTTGTGTAGTTCCTATCTCAAATTCTGAAAACGTACTACTAAGATTGAGAAAACCATTACTTACCCTATTTGCTTGCACACTTCTGACCCTGTTAAACTTCCTCCTCTGAACAACAAATTTATCGGTTGCCAACGCCTCCGAAAGACAGGTTTATATTCGTTAGCATTACAGAATATCTCGACAGTACTGATACTACTGTATTGCTGTAACTTTTGTTATATCACTTGAGTCACTGTTCTTTCCAAAATCCACTGAACAACAATTAGTGATTTATCTCGATGGGATTTAAGAATATTTCAAGAACAAATCTCTTCTTATCGATTTTTTATCCAACAATTTCGCGGTACGATAGCGCGTTGGTGGAATCTTGGAAATTGATAAATAGGTTGTTCGGAGGAGGAAGTATAACAGGATCAGAAGTGTGCAAGCGAATTGGGTAAGTTATGGTTTTCTTAACCTTTGTAGTAGGTTTTCGGAATTTGAGATAGGAACTAAACAAAAGGACATTTTCTTAACATTCGAAACAGAAAGGCCTCAAGTCTCTTGTCAATCATTGTAACCCTATAATTCTAACCGAAAAATATCTGCTGAAAACACGTATATACAAAAATGTTGTGCGTAGATTTATAAAGTAATGCTTAACAAACTAAGCACGTAAAAGATGAGCGTCAATCAAAATTTGTTGCCAGTATAAATCCTTCCATCTATTATGATTTCCATTTGGAGTATAACATTTTCAAAGAATGTATATATTCAACATAGAATAACTAACTCACTTATCGACAGATGCTAAATCCTTGGAGCCTGTCGAACCACCACAAGCATAAATTATATCAGGAAAATCAGAAAATGATTGTAAATAACTCGATACTACAGCTAACCGACCTCTTTGTTTTGTCAGTCGTGGACCAATAATAGGAGGAGATACAGGTGAATCTTCATCGCTACATGATTCATACTGTTGATTACTATTGTTTTCAACAAATAATTCCATACTATCTAAACAACCTTTACGATTATAACCGCCAATAATTGCAATGTAATGCTTTGAATTACAATTCAATTGTCCAATGCCAAAACTTGACCGAGCTTCTAACATATGTAACGGGAAATCCTGGCCTGTACCATCATTATGACTAATGCAGAGAATTTCACTTTGATAGATTTGATCAGTGAATGATTGACGAAGTAAAGACGATTCAACAATAGCTCGCGCTAAATTTGAAGCAGAACTGCCGGTTACTGTACGGGTTACTTCATCTAATATTTTGATGAAAAAACATATGAAACAATAGAAAACAAATCCCGACGAAAAAAGATACGAATACATCAACACACATATATACATATATAAATAACTGATAAAATGTCGAAGCATAAAGATTATTCTTTTAGTCCGTAAAAATACGGAATTCTATTACCTCGGGTTGTCGAAAAGAAAAAAAATCAAATTACTTAACGTAATTTAAATGGACTTGATAACTCTGACAAGACTACTAACAACAATGCTTTCCCTTTGACAGTTGCGAATGACTGATTAAGCATGTTATGCAAAAATTGGAAAAATTGGAAAAATCTTCTAGATATATAAGATTTTAAGTGTATAATAATAAATTAATTGAGTAAAGTAATTATACTCCCAATACTTAAAACCATGAGGTGCTCTATTAGAGATGTTTAGATGTTTGGAAGTTTTCACTGCACAGGGCAATTTCTTCTTAAGGGAGCTAATAAAGAGGATGGGTCAGAAGTGATGGCTTTGCCGATCAGAGTGTGACTACAAAAGCCAAAAACTTGAAATTGATGGCGAACGACCATTTTACTTCGGAGGCGAGAATCCGAAGAACAAGAAGGGATATTGATTTTTTTAAGACCGATATTTTCTGATATCTCATATTATCTGATGGAAGGTGGATACTTCTTGTTAGCCGTTAGAAACTGCTTGCTGATACCACCTCTCAGTAAAGTCGATAGAATAAATCATGTTATGGGTTTAAGTTGTTTTTGAAATAAATTGATGTATAACAGTTAAAACATAAGTTTATTACCTAAAGAAACCTGGAGGATTACCAATTATGGCTAAGTGTACTGATAATAAATCACGATGTGGACAAATAATGAACTTACCAGGCATATGGTCACCAGTTTAAACCATATCCTTATAACTACTTCTGGTAGAACAGCTGCGTACTACTTCACATGGCTCATTATTTACATCCGATTTCAGATGTTCGCAAAGTGATGTTTCTTCGCTGAAAGTTATTTATATCCCAGAATTGCAGTTTCTCTTCACACAGTGAAATCAGCGAACCGCACCTAGAAACAATTCAGAACTCTTACTATATGTTATGACTCAGCAACGACTTTTCAAAATAAGCGTTAACTGTCTACATACTTCAGCGTAAGTATCCCAACATATTGGGATGTGTATACCTGAAAATATTAGCAATGGGACAAAATATATGTATTAAATCTAGTATAATGAGTTCTGCACACAATAAAGTGGGAACTTGTTTTTTTAGAATTAATGACAAGCTAGATATATAAACGAACTTGTGACGGGTCAAATTTATTGAAAGGAATGAATTTCAGAACTGGTACAAATTAGTTCTTATAAAGTAATAGAAGGTGCTTGAAAAATAAACTGGTATATATAGAGAAAAAACAATGGCTTTTATCTAATCTTCACCTACCATCATTATCCGATTTCGGCACAGAGGTACTGGTACACTCGTACAATTCTGGATAGACACTTTCAGCACAACACTTGGTAGCGTTAAATTCATTTTCAATTAGACTGTTTAAATCATTTGGTATACTGGAAGTATTCGAAATAGATGAACCACGACTTTGATGACGACTTCGTGACTGATTGACTTCATTCATTAATTCTTGATCCAATTGTTGGATGGATCGATGTGTCGAGGGACAACGTTTTATCGATAGGCTAACCAAATAACCTGCTAATTTGCCTAACCAAATTGATGTTGATCGAACTATAAATAGAATGAGAATGAAAATAGAGTTACGGTAACAATATAACTAGGAACTAGATTTCTGTACGCAACCAACATAATAATTAATCTATTCATACAATTGACTTAAATTTCGTCATAAGAAGCCGTAACATTAACACATGATAAATTAAATGAATTGGGAAACATCGACCAAAAGATACTATATCTCAATAAAAAATACACCAATTACCATATTACTTTATAAACTAGATAGTAAATTTTACTTCAAGTTACTAAGGACTAGAAAGTAATGCTGTATCATTCTACACATTATACTGTAATTGAACTGGACTTCTTAATAGTTACCGTTAAAGACTCATTGATTAATTCGATCTATATTGCATCCCCAACACTAAATACTGAAATTATGGAATTCATACAGTAAAATGATCATTTTTGACTTTGTTTACTACAGAAAATACTGAAGTGAGAAAACACAAATTGAAGCTTGACTTTTTATCATCGTCTAGCTAAGATTGGCTCGTGACTTGACTACCAACAATTTTACAAGCTTCACAAACCCAAATATACTAATAATGATCATTTGTTTACCATCGACTAGCTTTAAGGTGAAATTCAAGATGAGGTGACCAGGGGAGTTCAATCGGTATCTAATGTGAAAGGTATTCACCGCATTCAACGGAATACAGTCAAGTAATATCGTGGATTGATGGAGGTCAGACATGCAAACCACTGCATAATGGTTCAGTGGCGTCTAAAGGTTAAGTGATCACCTCGAGAACTGAAGGTCCTGGATCCGATCCTTTATGACTGGGTTGTGGAGGTGCACTGAAGAGAGACACCACACTAAGAAAAAAACAACTATACGGTGCTACTAGATTTTCAAGAGTCAGATCGGTTCGTGATCTTCATAGGATTGAATTTGAACATATTGTTAACAAATGAATATCTAAAAAGCATTATGTAGTGATAACTCGTTTTCATAAATGAACTTGAAAAAAGGATTATCAAGTTATGGATATCCCAATGAAAATAAAAGAATATTACAATCGATAGAAGTGAATGGGCTGGATGAAATATAAGACTTAAGAACGTAAATAATAATCTGATCTGGAAAGCCTGATGTAACACACTAATAAAACAAGGATTTATAATAAGGGATCCTTGAGATATATTTTTTAATAGGAGATAGTAATTCTACTGATGAACTTTCAAAGCAAAACAAATGCAACAGGGTACAAATCTGTAGTTCTGCAGTTTAAAGGATTGAGTACTTAAAACACATACGAAACCGTTCAATTGAATAGATTAAAAGATTATTGAGAATTTAAGTGACTGTTCCTTTTTAAAATACTTTGTTCTTAGTTAAAAAATAAATAGTGAATTCATCTGTGGAAAAATATAGCAATAACAATATTTACACAAACGATCATAATTCTTGCAGTTAAATTCACGAGTCGATCTAAGTTAGAACACCACTGGAAAACCTGATATGGAGAGTGTTCAAGCCCTCACACAAACTGAATGACCAAGTGTGGCGGATATACATTGTGGCCTTTTGTACCAATGTCTGTGTTTAAAAAATAAATGGAAGCACTCAACAGCCGTTTCTCCCCAGTATGAGACTCCTCAGCAGTGCACATCCACGATCCCTCACTCGGCACTCGAACTCAGAAACTTCAGTCTCGCACTTCAACACTTAACCTCTAGACCACTGGACCGGCATTCAGTGGTGTCAATGTCTAACTTCAATCAACCCACGACATTTTGTGGAAATTTTTCTCAGATATTGTATTCAGCAAAAAACCCTTCTTGATTTAGGTCTAAAGTTAATTGACACTTATCAGCAAGGTAAACTCACAGTTATAAAGGAACTTGATGATACCTATGGAATTCGAACCTACGTCAACCAGCTTCACAACTTGAGACAATAGCATTCTATTCACTATTGAAGACTTTAGAACGGAAATATTTCGTGTAATAGTTACTGTTCAGTTAGAGTCCCACGTGCGGGATCGTGGGTATATATATATATAGTTCCCAAAATCATAACGTATTTTCGTATCATATACGCTGGAACTATGCAAATTTCTATAAAACCAATATCTTTGATCGTGAAATCAACACCGACAGCTCTTGGAATGACTTATAATAATGAGAAAGTAATAGCTGAACAGAAGTTATTAAATGAAAATAAAAACAGAAACAACTCCTAAGTGAAATGAAATTTTATAATTTACCAAATGAAACGATTTATACTTTTATTTGATAGGATATTATTTGCTCGCTATATAACTATCAGCTTCTGAACTAAATAGAGTTCAAGGTCAGTGGATAAAGTACACAGCCTAACAACAACAAAGCGGTATGAACATACATTCATAATAAACATTCAAGTTTCTAGAAAAGTGATCAGGTTCACTGGATGATACTAGTATACCATTTCATTCTGTATTGTGACAATAACACAATTCGATAAGGGAATAATGAAAAAACGATTACAAGAAAACTACTTTAGTTAACATATTAATTACAGTGGTGGACAGATACGTGGATCATGTTCACAACTAATTATTTAGTTAGTTATGCCTAAGAACATAGAATGGTAATAATGCTGATTTTCTGGTCAATATATTTGAACTCTTAATACTGCCACTCTCAAATATTAGAGCAGGCAACAAGTCAGTAAAACTGTACTTCAAAACTGGTTTATGAACGGGAATCGAGGATCGCATGTGTGGTCGAATATGTGTAGTATGAAGAACCACATATTAAAGAACCCAATTATCGTGGGGTCTAAAGCACCAAATTCGATTTCGGTAAGTTGACAATTTTTCTATGACTGTGATACTCAATCTGAAACAATAGTATAATTCATCCGATGTGATTAGTGAATAAATGGATAAGAGAAACCAATAAATACTTTTTACGCAATAAACCTTGATCTTTTAAATGTGGATTATAATAATATATTTAAACTCATCACAGTCGTCAACTGAAGTCTGTCGATTAAGAACTGATCGGTGATTAGTTGATATTTTTATAATGATATTCTAATACACGAAATATTTCCGTTCTAAAGTCTTCAATAGTGAATAGAATGCTATTGTCTCAAGTTGTGAAGCTGGGTGACGTAGGTTCGAATTCCATAGGTATCATCAAGTTCCTTTATAACTGTGAGTTTACCTTGCTGATAAGTGTCAACTAGCTTTAGACCTAAATCAAGAAGGGTTTCCTGCTGAATACAATATCTGAGAAAAATTTCCACAAAATGTCGTGGGTTGATTGAAGTTAGACATTGACACCACTGAATGCCGGTCCAGTGGTCTAGAGGTTAAGTGTTGAAATGCGAGACTGAAGTTTCTGAGTTCGAGTGCCGAGTGAGGGATCGTGGATGGGCACTGCCGAGGAGTCCCATACTGGAGAGACACGGCTGTTTATTACTTTCAGGCTTACAATGATGGTCTGTCTTAGATGGACTCGTGAATTCAACTGTTAGAAATAAAATTTATTGCAGCACGACAAGATAAGTAGGACGTTTAGTATGTTAATTATTTCAATTAAGATGGTACTTTCAGTGTGAAATAAAACCGTTTGAATCATGAATATCAACGACAGGATTAGTAAAACACTTACTAATCCGTGGTCAAAACATTACACCTACTATATACGTTAGTGAATAACTGGCCTCAGTAACTTCAAAGTTTTTCACAATCAATCTATTATATAAAATATTTTTCGCGCGATTGAAAAATTAGCCATGGATACTAGTATTACACAGACGTATAATCAATAACGTAGTCTAAGTATAATGAGCTTGAGCAGAAATGTCTGATAGCTTGTAATGATAATCAGTTGAAAGAAAAAAACTTTAAACATGTCACTCACTTAGTTTAATGCTTTAACTTCCAAGTAACACTACTTAGACATTTATTTCGCTAGCAGATTAAAAAAACTGCATCACATGAATAATCATTATTGAAAGACGAGTTTTTAATATGGTGTAATCCATTCATTCAGTGACAAACATAGAGAGAACTTTAAATTTTGAAAATAAGGCATTAGTTATAAACCAACCGGTGTGAATGATATCTTAACTACATGACAGAATAATAATACTTCTTGATCTGTGAACGGACTGGAAAATGTTAATTCGTTTTTTCAATCAGATTATGGTAGTTTAACTATTAACACCTTAACTGTAAAACGTTAACAATATAGGTAAGAACAATCGGGAGCTGAGGTTGAATTCTAAATAAAAAACTAAACATATCTACCAAGTACAAGAACTCAAACTTTTTTGTAACTGACGAATAAAATTAGGCGATTCTGAGTAAGGAAACGAAAACAAAATGGATATTTAATAAGTGTATTGGAATTTTATTATGGTGTTACAGAAAATTGACGATTCCTTGATTAAATGACAATTAAAGAATAGTTAACAAGTATGATTACACAGCAGATAGATTCTAGATAACTTCTGAAAAATTATGGCGATTCTCAAGACATGTATAATTACATAGATTGTGGTATTATTTTGTTGAGCACAAACGTTATATCCGAGCGAAGATTAAATCACGAGTAACTTCTGAGACATATGAATTGACTAATATTATCTATACATTCTTATGGTATAACTATTCAATAATTAGATTATGTATATTTATATTTCTCTTATTATAAGCTTTATTTTGACCTATAATTTATTATTGTACGATTTACTGCTCTTAAGCTATGTTCAGTTTATTGACTACTGCCTCCCGCGTTCACAGTCACTTTTTGGCTTTATTGTGTGAAAATGTTATTTCCTATTTTATGGTGCGTTACGGTCTGTTTGGTTGATATATAAACCCAGTATGTCTGAAATAAATTATTCGATTCGATTCGTATAGTGGAAGCTGGTATTGGTGTTCTGGACTCAAGTGGACGGGCTAGACGGACATAGGATAAATAAGGACGCTAGGCTGCGCACACCGGTCGAACGTCATTGGTTTTGCACAGTGTGAAGACTGTATAAGTCGTATTTTGATTGGTGGACAAATCACGTGATAAAAAGCCGGACATAAAGTCACAACAATAAACTTTTTGTTAAATTATTAGTTGCAGTGAATAAAAATATACAATTTGGTTTATACTGCGATCACGCGACTACTGATATACAGTCACTGTCAGGGAAGTGCTACTCACTACCTTCCAGCGGCGAGGGTGTTGTTTACGAAATTAAGAGGTCGGAAAACGAATTCCCAGCTATTTAACCGGGAAATAGGACTGATTACAGTGATAGGCTGAGAAAATAAACCTAAACATTACTTTGACCACGATAGTTGCAATTAAAACTAACAATTTACAATATATTAAGTATGAAAATGCTGACAAAAATAAACATAGTCATATTATATAATCAAAGTCATTTCATATTTTTACTTACCTCCAAGAGATGTTGGTGCCAGTAAACAAGTCTCTGATTCTTGATTACCAGTTGTTAAACAAACAGTTAATAAACTATGCCCATTCTACAAAGCAAAATTTCAATTTGTAAGTTATGAGTAATAAAACAATATCATGTTTTAAATTTTAAAAAAACTTATTCAGTCAATCAGCTACAACGTATGTCCATGCACATATATGCATCAGTTCAAGTTGCCACACCTCATCAGCACAACAAGATGATCACCAAACTCACAGAAGTGTTTACTTCAATTGTAGTAATATATAAAAGAAGCATTGTATATAAGGATATAATGCATGAAGAAAAATTAGTTCACAGAAAGGTATAAAGTAATTTTAATCCCACGGTTTAAGAGAAGACAAAGAGTGTATACACCTAAGCTATCGTAATCGATTCTGGGCCATGTCACCCAGAATCTCCAACCATTGATTACGATAGTCACGCGAACCCCAACCAAGTAGTCTACATCTGCAAACAAGGTTCAGACCAGAAGTTAATGACTTCAAGGACTGATGTCATGTTTTAGTTTGGTCGCCCATAACTTTCTCCCAACCATCTCCAACACTAGTCAGCGTTGCGCGCGAATTTAGGCATAAAACAAATAAAAATTGTTGATAATCATAGGTGTGATTACTGTTTTTTTTTCATTTTGTTTCTATTTCTTACAGATTCTTGTCAAAATTGAAATAAAAGAACAATCCTGAATTATTGAATACATCACCTTCAAATGAACAGATGTAAAAGCAATTATTATCCGTGTATCGAACCAAGTAACCACACTACAAATTATTATTGTGAGTAGAAGTAAACAAGACCAGGAAACATAAGATAATAGATTAAATTTACAGGATAATAAGTTATTTAAGAGTTAGGCAAAGATCAATGCATTTGCACTACGGAGATCAGTCGATCTACAGGCACCACTTAAAATCTCTTTCACTACTCAACTATAACTTACTTGTGGAATGCATTTAGAGGGAATATACATATGTTCCTGTAAACTATAAACTACCAAGTAATGATCAAATGACTTAATGATGTGTTTTGATCTGGCTATCTCATCTCTTTTATAAATCCGATCATTCAGTCAGCGTTCACAACTTCATTAACAAACCGAGTTCGTTTTATGAATAATATACTCATCAGTAAGTGAATCGCTAACGACAGAAAATAAAACATTAATAAACAAACGGAACGAGTTTTAGAAGTCATAACTTTCAAAAATACTTTTCGATTATTATTGATATTTTTACTGTTTATTTAGTAGTAAACTATGCATATCAGAACGGATAATTGTTGAAGTTTAAGACGTTAAGCAAGAGATAGGATAGTGGATGTGGAATCGAAAAAGTGTACTTGGGATCCTGACCGGTGGAATCGTCACTTGATATCGATTAGAGTTTTAAGACAAACAGTCACTACTTTTATCATTTTCAGCTATACTGAAAAATGTTTACAGTCATAAAGTAACACAGAATGATACAATAATTACTTTTCCAATATGTTATTTGTGACATCTCGTCTAAGTTACAGACGATGTATGCTATGAAGAGTCAATTGTGATATTACTGTATTTGCAATAACATTTTATCAGTCAACAAACGACTGTAATTCCAGATGTTACCTAAATTCTTAAAGATTAAATCGATTGAACTGCAAAAACTACTGAAATAAGGACAGATATAGGAATGAGACTTCAAAATGAATGCTTGAATCGGTTTCCTAAGCTCTTTTAATAAATCCAGGCTAATTCTGCAAGATAACACGAACGCCAGAGAAAAGGCGTGAAATGTGAGAAGAATGCTTTACTCGAAGGTTAATTTATGTACAGCAAAACCGAGGCTATTTATAGTGTTTCAGTTTCAGATGGCCTTGGGTTTCTGAAACCGTACTGAACATATTAGCACAGTGTGTAATCATCCAATTAGAAATGCAATGGATAACTTCACTTTCTCGGTGTTTCTGAGAAACTTCTATTCAATGTTTCCCAGTGGAATTTTTCTAGGAATACCTTGGATCCCCCAACACCTTTCTTTCACAATATAAGACTTCGTCTTGGAGTCTACTTGTCATACCAAATTTGTACAAAAAAAGTCTAAGTGGCCTCTGATTCAGTCTTAGTGACCAAATCATAGAGCCGTCTCGTTGTACTGTGGGGCTCTTCTATAAGTCTGACGTAGTTACCATCGAAGATGGTCGTGCAAATCGATTGAAGTCAGGCATCCAGTGGTCCGAAGGTTATGAGCTATCCGTAAGACTTGAAGGTCGCGGTTTCAATTTCAAATGGTGGGACCGCGGATGCGCATTGTGCAGGAATCACACTAGGACAAAACAGCTGTTCAGTTATTCCTGGTTTTTAGTAGTTGTTTAACTTGAACAGATAATGATCTCAATAATAATCATAAATACTACAATTCAAACGATTAACTGAATTTTCTACTAATAGGTCCATAGAAAAAATGCCAACAAATAAATAATGAAGTTCGTCAAGAAATAAGTCTACATTACCACCAACCAAAATATAATACATCATTTTAACCGTGAATCGACTAGTTAATGTTGTCGCTTTTTAAGCACATGTGACATATTTTGATTTTTCTCCAGTTCAAAAATGTGTTTCGTATCATCAGTCAGTTAACTACAGAATTATTTAGTTGTTTCCTATGTCCAACAACAACAAAATACCATAGTCTGTAGTTTACTTTCCCCGAAGATAAAAAATAACGAAATAAACAATAAAATTACAAGACATAATATATACGAAAAATTGATAACAACGAAAGACTTTAGTGGGTTTTTTTTATAAAATAACAAATAGTTTACTTAGTTATTTTACCATAGAATAAAAACTGTTACTACACTACAATTATTAATTGTAGACATATATCATGTGTACATCTGGACATGTATGCATGTTATAGACGTAAACATGTGTGTTATCATCTCCAATAGCATGGAAACCAATAAAAGTATTAAAAAACAGTAAAACGGTAGATGGGCATATATATATCGACCGAAAATTGTCCAATCCTAAAGCTTAATATATTCTACAGATATTCCTTCAACGTTATACACGTAATTCATAACCATAAGCTTAGCTGATATGCAACACTTTCTAAGAAAAATCGAAAGTGAAGTCTACAATAATCACATGAATATCAGAAAATATACTAAGTGAAGTATAAACTAGTATTGAGGTTCAGTTGTTTGCTTATGAAATGAATCAATTTTTCAGCGACCATGGAATCATTTCATTAACTGAAACACTTAGTTGGATATAATATTCACCATGTAAAATAAATCAAATCGTTAAGTAAAAAAAATCAATAAATGAAACGATTATGCTTTCCATCACAAATGCTCTCTATCTTCAGTGAAAGAGACAATGAAATCACTGTCATTTTGTTAAACACAAACGAGGAAATTTATGAAAAACAGGCCAGAATTTTTAAATAGACTTTAAGATTGGTAACAATTAACAAATGAGAATAAAGTGTAGAATTTTATGCAGAAATGATAACTTGAATTCATGAATATATATTTCTTCAGTTAGTTGGCTAGTAAATCAATCGTATGATATTTATTTGATAAACATTCAAAGAATGGTTTTTTGAGTAAATTATCAGTTGGATTAGCTTAAAATCACTCTCTCGTATTGTATTAGTCAATTTTACCGTTCAAAAAGTTTCTAGTCACTATTATATGCAACGAAGAACCAGGCCCAAATGTACTTTAGCCCGAATTGCTAAACGATTTTAGCAGAGCGAGATGAATTTTTAAAAAAAAGTCGAATAGAAGTAATATTAATGAAAGAGAGTCAGAAATATAATATGTTGTTTGAAAATAACGAATAAGTTCGGGAACTAAAATGTACTGAGCAAAAATAAAAAAATTAGGATTCACAGATGGACAATGAATTTGTGCCACTTAGTCCGATTTCAAGTCGAATTGCGCAACATTTTTATAAAGTAGGATACACTGGCAGATTATAGAGGACGCAGATATACAGTGTGTCTGGTAAAACAAATTACTAAAAGAATTTTATGTTCAATTCTTAAAAGCTAGCAATATATATTAGTAATCAAACTAAAGGTTCATGTACCCGACTCTGAATCACAAGTACTGCGTTAGGGCTTATAACAACATCTATCTGCCACATGAATTAAGCGGTACAGAAATGGAACTTACAATCCAATAGTCAAGTATTTTTAACTATGGAAAGCCATCGCTGCGAGAAGGCAGTGGGTAGGATTTCCACAACCACTGTAAGAGAAATCCTACTCACTGCCTTCTCGCACTGAGGGTTTTGTTTACGGAATTGAGAGGACGTAAAGCGAATGTCCAGCGCTTTAACCGGGTTGGTGGAAACGAAGGGTCCACCTAGAGGAGTTGGAAAACTTTGATTCCAAACCAATGGTGCATACGGGCTCTAGGATTCTGAAGGAACAAATGGTGCATGAACCTATTGTTGGTCATCAGCTACCATGGGACTGCATCTGTACACGTTGCTCCACTGTCTTTTGGATTAGACCTATAGGTCAAAGGCTCAGGAAGTGACCGCCTAAGAAAACCATCTGCTTCGGTTTCGGCATACGGGCAGTATTCCAGACCTCACACAAATCGATATATTTAGTGCCTCTTTCTACCAATGTTTATGTTTAAATAAATAATAAATGAACATCAGTTTTACATACAAGTCAAAATACGGGAAATTGCAAGCTAAGCCTATATTTTTAAAACAAACGTCAAACATATTACATGTATCAGAGTTAAGTTATAATATACTTAATACTTTATTTGTACAACATGAAATAGTCTATGAAAAGTGTAATCTTGTAAATGATACTGATGAACAATCATTCAAAACCTGGAAGTTACGAGTAAGCGAAATTGACGATCTTGATAAAACCACGATGACAAAAAAAGGAAAAGGAATGAAGTGAAAACATATTTTAACAGATATATTGATTCAGCAAAACATTTAGACCTATAAATGCACTAATCTTTCTCATTCTAGATAAAGTTTCATAACGATTGATATTGTGACAAAAACAATTACTTTATTGTCAGTAGTATAGAGTTGTGGAAATTATTGAATTTCATTGAAATCACGAACCGATCAACGTTTGACAACCTGAAGAGTCCCACACTAATATAAAACATCCTTTCAGTGCCTTCAGGTTTTTAATGATTGTCTAACTATGATCGGTTCGTGATTCCAATGAAATTACTTTATTATTTTTCAGCTAAATGAGGTTAGATAAGGTAATGACAAATAAGAAAACATAAAAAAGTGGAAAATTAAGATAGGATACTAACATACCATAGTAGATGTGTGCATTTTATCAAATCAATCTCTTTCTCAATAAGTATATTGTCAAGTCAAGTCAAACGAATGGTCTGATAATGTACATAGTTTACATTTACACAATATTTAAGAAAATAAAGTTGATATTAAATGAAAAAAAAAGTTTTATTGCTACATACTACATTGATCTGACCAACATGTTGATGATCCCGGTAGTCGATTTATAGCATTATAATGAAAATTGAATAAAGAAACGAATTACTCTTAAATGAGGATTTAAGGAAATAATTAAGGAATTTGAAAAATCACATAGATTTTATTGTAAGAAACATGATCGAACTCAAATATAATCGTGCCTATAAATATGTACAACAAAATGTATAAATTTAAGAGAAAGTTATAATATTGTTTTCACCAGAAGAAAAAAAAGATATTTTAATTGTAAATAAAGATTGATTTAGAAATCATCATTAAATATATAGCTGGTCAAAATCAAGTTACAATGTACAATAAGTGAAATTGACGATGAATTGAATATCTTATGCAATATACTGAAAATTCTTTTCGAAATAACTTGAATTTATGAAAGAAATTTAATTTAATTAACAAGGTTTATTCCATAAAGAACTTTTCATTAAACAGTTATACCGATGTATACAACAACAACAACAACAACAACAACAACAACAACAACTACTACTACTACTACTACTACCATACTTCAATCAATACATCGAATGATAGCGATTTTAACAAAGTAACAGAAATCTTACTTCTCACCTGAGATATGTTACTCATTTCATTTTCTTCTTTACTCAAAGGTAAATCATTTATATCGACCGAAATCTGATAAATATAGAAAAAAAGAAACATGTCAATTCAAAATTTGTCATCTATATTTCGTTTGTAAATAATATAAGCTTACAGAGAAGAAACTGATGTTAATGTTATTTAAAAAAAACCTAACTCTCATAAGCACACACTAATGGTCATCTCTATCAATTAACAAAAAGCGAAAAATGATTACCAAGTTGGAGTGACTTTACTATTTATTTATTTAAACACATAAACATTGGTACAAGGTGGCACCAAATACATATGCGCCAGATAAATCATTCAACTTTTTGCGGGCTGGAATACAGCCCGGGTGCCCAAACCGAACCAAGTGGTTTTCTTAGGGGTGACACCCGGAGCCTTTAACCGAGAGCTCTAATCCAAAAGGTAGTGGAGCAACGTAAGCAGATGCAGTCCCATGGTAGCCGGTCACCAACGATTGGTTTATACGCCATTTTTTCCTTCAGGATACTGGAGACCATGTGCAACATCGGTTTGGAATCAGGGTTTTCCAACTCCCCTAGATGAACTCTCCGTGTCCACCAACCCGGTTAAAGCGCCAGACACTCACTTTTCGTCCTCGCAATTTCGTAAACAACAGTAAAGCCTCGAGAAGGCAATGAGTAGGACTTCCCCGGCAGTTGTTGTATGTACGTGGCCATGTGAGAGCATTTCGAGAGGGAGAGGTGACTCTTCCCACTCTCGGCCGTACCAAGGCATCTGGGTGCAGTGGCTTTACTAAATTGAACTAAATTAATCTAGTCAACCTGTCAATCACTAACACTAACGATATGGAGTAGACGTATATCGGTTAACGTATAACACTCTACACTGGTTTAAGGAGGAGACATTAAAGACATGGAAACCAAAGGAGTTGGAGAGATAATAAACAGGATACATGTTGTTTCCAATGTCTGCTGACCAGAATTATGTGACAAGCCACTAATCAGAATTGATTCTACTTTGATCTATTTCGCGTCTACCATTTACGAATGCTTAATTTCTCCGACTTGGACAATTACATGTTCGACCAGCAACATTAATCTTGACTCAGCAGCCAAGTTCTTATTGGACCACCATTTGTAAGCTTCTCTCTATGCCCTGCCTTTAAGTCCGAAAGTCAGCAACAAGCCTCCACTACATTTACGCTTCAAACAGACATGGTTTATAAACAGATATAACGCACCACATCATATCGTGAAATGAAGAACATAATTATACAAAAGTGGCTGTGAATATGGAAAACTGTGAGTAATAAACTGGTCAGATATTAAGAATGGTAAATCGAAGGATAATAGTTTATGAGTTAGCCAAAAGCTTATAATAAACGTAATACATAAACATAATTTAGTTGCTTAATGTTTATACAATGTACCATGTCACTCATTGAATTGGTATTCCACTCACTTGTTCTTGTAGTGGTTGGTTCTGGTTTCAAAATGAATATGTTGAAAATTGTTGCGCAAGTGCAAACGCAGCTAAATCCCCTAGGAAGACACAAATGTGCAGTTAGGGAAAACTGACATACTCATGGTCTACGGTGCACATGGATTCTCCTAGTCCTATAAATGGAAAATAGTTCACGCCTTTTCTAAGTGTTCAGAAGTTCGTTGCATGAAGTCTACATCAGCCAAAGCTACTGTGGACAAGTTACAACAAGTATTCACCTGTTTCGGGTCTTCAGAAGTATTAGTATCTGATAATGGAACTCAGTCTATACCGGAATCTTTAAAATTTTGTATTGACAATGCCGTTAAAAATATCAAGACATTTCCTACCATCCACAGTCAAACTGACAATTTAAGAGACTTGTCGACGTTTTAAAAAAAACTAAAGCCGAGGGAGAAGGAAAGGTGGACGATGTAATCCAAAAATTCTTATTAATCTACCGTGCAACGCCAAAACCATCAATAGAAAACCAAGTAAGTCCAACAAAAGCGATGTTTTCAAGAGAAATTAGGATACCAATGGAATAGATTCAACCAGGGCCCAAAACCAGTCACTACAAGAACAAACGAATGAAGTGCCAATTCAAGATACAACAGAACAGTTAACTAAACACAGTCCAAAAGAGACCAATTAAATAAGAAAATGAAAAGTACGAGCGATAATACTGGTTCGAGATTTGGAGGAAGATGATAAAAAAATGCATTTGGGACTCTGTGATCGGCTTGAACCATTTCAATTAAGGTAACAAACTATAGGGGATTTCACGGATTCAAAAGGAAGTAAACCAAATCTATCATTCTGAAAAGAATACTAGAGAATGCGAAAACAGAGGACCGAATCGGTCAAATAAATGATCATTATTATCATGACTGACTTTTAAAGCTTGATCACATACTAAGGACAAGAAATTATATTGACTACTGAATTAAATATAGAGACAAAACTGTTTGGCGTATTTACCTTGTATATTTGTAAGTAAACGACTGGGTGCCCAAATTTAAAATTTTTTGTTTAGTTTGTATTCAGCAAAAAGTTGCACTAGTTATTTAAGGTTCCTTATTTTTCTCTAAAAGTCGTGATTCTTAGTGTTCTAATTAGAGATGTAACCACTGAGATGAATTTAATTATCGTTTGGTTGTTGGATAGTAAGTCACTTAATTTGTCAACCCATGAAACCTATCAAACAGACCAAAACCAAGTATGATCCTTGCCTGCATCTTACTGGACGTAAGAAAGACGCTGCAAGGAAACCTCTTAGGGTCCTATTTAATGATAGTCAAGCTAGGAGTATATTTCAGGAACAACTAGGAAAACAGTTAGGCAGCCATGTACGTGATGCCCACCCCGAGGCAGCATGGAATGATATCCGAAAAGCTGTGGAAACAGCAGTGATATCTGCTAGTACGGTAATCCGTAAGGTTAGGGAGCGACACTGGATCTCAGCAGCATCTATCGCACTGATAGCTGCTCGGAAACTCATTCCACCTAGCTCTGAACATAATGAAGAGCGAAGTCAGCTTAAGCGCAAGCTGACAAGAAGCCTGCGCAATGATCGCGAACAGTGGTGGGTATCGAAAGCAAGAGAGATGGAAAAGGCAGCGGCAATATGTGATAGCAGACAATTGTTCAGACTCATTAAGGAAACCGGTATTAGGAACCCGACTTTTAGCAATCTCAGAGAAAGATGGACATATTATAAATTTTCAATCCAGGAGATTGGATCGATGGGTAGAACACTTTAGGGATCAGTTCAACTGGCCTTCAGCCACAATTCGGTTTCCCACGATCTCCAGTCAACCTGAGTGGCAAGTTAATGTAGGTCCTCCGACTATTTATGAAGTTAAAAAGGCTATAGGAAATCTGAAGCGAGGGAGAGCAGCAGGTCCTGACAGGTTTACTCCTGAGATTTTTAAGGATGGTGGTCTAGTATTAGCAGTGAGATTAACTGAGATCTTAAGTAGGATTTGGGAACTGGACGCAATCCCGTCTGACTGGTCTCAATCACTGATTGTGCCGGTCTATAAGAAAAGACAAAAGTCCTCTTGTGACAATCACACAGGAATCAGTTTGACTAATATAGTGTCTAAAATATTAGCTTCAATAATACTTCGACGCCTAACCAAAGCTCGTGAAGGGCAGAATAAAGAAAACCAGGCTGGTTTTCGACCTGGACGTGGTTGTATAGACCAGATATTCACACTACGTCAGGTTCTAGAACATAGACACACGTTCAGACGCCCCACAATCGTAGTATTTCTCGACCTTAAAGCAGCATTCGACTCTGTTGATCGTAAGGTTTTATGGCAGTGTTTGTCACTGAAAGGAGTACCAAAGAAGTACATTAACCTTATACAGGCTCTTTACCCGAACACAACTGGTAGAGTGAGAACTTATGGCGAACTATCATCAGAATTGATTATTTCAAGTGGTGTTCGTCAGGGCTGCCCACTCTCTCCATTCTTGTTTAACTTTGTGGTCGACGTACTTTTAGAGATAACACTTTCCTCGTCTAGATTTCCAGGGGTTGAACTTCTACTGGGAGATTCACTTGTTGACTTGGAATATGCTGATGACATAGTTTTATTTGGCGAAGACGCTGACAAAATGCAGAGTCTTCTGACCTCTCTAAGCAACAATGCAAGCATGTTAGGGATGCGATCCCCCCTCGAATTGGATTGGGTTGCATCGGCACCTGAACTAATGATAGGGAGTGAAGTAGTTGAGCGTGTAGGTGTAGACTACCTGGTTGGGGACCGCGAGATGATAGCAACCAATGGTTAGAGACCCTGAATGACATGGCTCAAAATCGTTTACAATGGCGCAGGTGCATCCACTCTTCATGTTCTTCCAAATTCTAATCTCTTGATTCATCCTTGTCTCTTTTTTCTTTTCCCAAATTTATTTCACTGGATTATACTCCTTAAATAACATCTCCAAACCCCAATCTTTTCGACTGCTGCTTATACTCTTACTACCTCTACCACTACGGGATTCCAATAGACAACTGCATCTCTGTGCTAATGTGGTATGGCAACTCGAACTGATGTACGTACGTACGAAGTTCTACGTTGTTACTGACTGACTGACTGACTGACTGACTGACTGACTGACTGACTGACTGACTGACTGACTGACTGACTGACTGACTGACTGACTGAGGGTCCAAAATAGTAATCGTGACTTGAATTCGTGACTTACAAAAGTAGACCCTGATATATGCATAGGTTTCCAATCACACTAAAAAACCTACATTTACGCAAACATCTGATTCCCAACTAGGGATGATCACTTTCTAGGTTATCCAACAACTGATCGCTTACCTCATCAATATTGCGAAATTCACTTCTGAATCATAAAACAGAAATTAATATACATCACCTCATCATAACTATTGTTCACTTGTTTTTCATTTTCCAACCTGTTCTCACGAATCACTGTTTTAGCAATGGGCTTTGATCATTTCGATAAAGCCAGATAATATCAGACCTGAAAATTACATTCATTTACTATGATTTCGTAATCACAACTAATGACAAAATGCCTAGTAAATGTGACACTTAGCACCCAGTAAAATTCCTACAGAGTGAAACCAATATCAGTAAACTCTGTTTAACCAAAAACATGAATAATTTGTTCATATTTATTATTTCTTGAACTAGATATGTGTTCAAAAGTAACTATTACGCAAAGTTTAAAACCAAATTAACAGTTACTGCTTGTAATTATCTAAAAATTTCGAGCTTCGCTATAAACAGAAACTTGTTCAAAGAAATAGATATCTATGAGTTACTGAAAACCAAAAATGGAATTTCATGAGTTAATCACTTACCATTCTAAGAAAACTGATTTCATGTTAGGGCCACTCTTGGTTGGAGCTACAAAAGTATGTTTCACTATCAATATAGGGGCTTAGGTGCTTAACAGAACAGTATACAAAAACTGTCATATAATCATTGAATCACGAGTAATAAAACCATTCCAATACAATCGTGTGTTCCATTTAGAGTGTATATCCCATAGTCACAGAGATAAGGATTTTTATCGGTATTTAAATGAAAATAAATGAACCTCACCAATTAAACATAAATCCACTGGCACATACACTGTGTAAAGGCAAGTGATAAAATACAACAGTCCAGCTGAAGAGAATAACATACATGTAGATTATCTCTAGTCCGAACTAATACATCTTAACATCCAATCCAACGCTAATCTAACTTACCCTGATAAAAAGCCTCTACTCTGGGACGTAGCTCAAACTAACACTAATATATAACATCAAGCAATGGTCTTGTGTCATGACTATTCTGTGGCGTCTACCATACAACCATTGGGCATATTTAACATATGACCTAACCATATATACAAGTTCACTAGACAAGTGGTTTCAACTGACCTATTTCTCACAATCAGAACCCTACTGCTAAAGCAAATGTTGTTCCCGGAAAAGTGGTAGCACACATAAGCAATGCTGAAAATTCATCTCAGTTAATTATATCCAGTCTCATTTAAAATTTTATTTATAGCAACCATATTTTACAAATTGCCCTACCACACCATAGAAGGTATTTAGGTGAATACTTGAACAACAGTTGGTTATTTGGGAAAAAGGTCATTGACATTTTACGATTATGTAGGAAAATAAATGTAGGATATATAATATCTTAAAAGATAGGGTAGTTCACAAGACTTACTCGTATATCTTGTGTACTATAATAACGTAATGAATCCAGAGTGTCTGAAACTGAGCCACGTTCCTCGGCTTCAGTTTCTGAATTTAAATCATCGCTATCATCATTGTCATCTGAAGGGAGGCTATACTGAGCTGATGTACCACATTTTGAACGAATTCCACTTAGCAAATTTTTTTGAGCCAAAAACTGAAATTGACTACCTGCTCGTTTACGCTGTGATCCATTAGAGTTCCCGACAGCATGACTGCTGCCATTCCCGTCACTTTCTTCATCGTCCGAACAAACATTATCTTCACTTCCCGCCCTTGCCAATCTTTCGCCTGTTAATAACTTTTCAAATGCCCATCGCAAAACTCCAACGGCTAAATATTCGTTGGAAGGTTCTTGAATTCCAGTTTGATCATCTGATGAATCGAAATTGCCTGTAAGATTTACTATCAAACGAGCACTAAGAATTCCTGTTTGAGAACAAGCGATGGCATCTGCTTCCGTTAACAAGTAGTGGTGTAATGTTTTTGTTAAGCACATTTCTGGCGAATAAGATGTGAGACTTGTAGCAAATTCATTACTATTTTGATAAACCCCACTGAACTGAATAAAGCTACACAGAACTGTACAAGAAACAGTAGGATGTAAGACGCAATATTAAAAACAAGCTATGTTAATCAAATATTCTTAAAAGGTTTACTTCAGATTCGTATGTTCTTATGCTGGTTTCAGAAGAATTATTGCAAAACTTTTGAAATCCCCATGAGTTCCTTTCTGGACAAAGTAGGTACTTTGTGTTCCACATATGACACACTGATGAACTCGTTTTGTAATAGCGTACAGATAAACTACATACCCGTAGTAAGTTGAATCATCCACCAGGTACTTAGGTATGAGCCACACATTAAGTGCGAGGGCTAATGATACTAACCAGTTGCTTAGACCGAAGTAGAAGAAGTGGAGCTCAAACCTGTAGCCTAGTGGTTGAAAGTCGAATGCCTTAACCAGTAAGCTACCGCTAAAACAGAGAGAGCTATTGAGAATGGTGTGCGAACTTTCCACACATTATGTAACTGCGTTATGCGGGACATGATAATCGCCACTATGTTATTCCTCGATTACAGTGATACCTAAATACATCAGTGACATATTATGTTGTTCAATTGCTATTCAATGAGTGCACAAACAATAAACAACTTAAATGACTTATTTCATGTTGTCAGTAGTTGTAAAAATCTGATTTGACAAATCAGTCTTTAAAACAGAGTGCTTAGAGTGTTGAGATTATATTAATAGCCACTACTTATATGCCAACATTTGGAAAGTTTTCTGGTGATTTACGTCAAGTCTTCAGATAAAAACTCTCTTCTACTCTGTAAAACAAGAGAAAAACGACATGAGGTTGACCTAGCAAACTCCGAGTATGTTTTTTTAGTAATTTTGAAGATCTGGTAGGCATGTCCATGGTGGCATACACCTAGATGTGTTTTATTATAGTTAATAACAGTAAAATTAAGTAAGAGAGCTTTACTAAAAGAAAATACACATGCTGCGAAGAATCTACAAAGACGACAACCCGAATACTGAGGACTAGTGTGGAATATTATATTGGTGAAATAGCATGTATCGTTTTGGTGCACCGAATAAACAATGAGACTCCACATATTTTGAGCCTATGTTCTAATAAGTTACTAATTCATCAACATATTTACTTTTTCATCATATTTAATTACACAAAATTCTAAAATCCCACATGTGCTGGCCTCATTCGACTACTGATAGCTGGAATTGTTCCTTACTAGTTCCTCATTTTATACTGATGTTCAGGGTAATGTTTACATAGAATATCATCATATGTCTGTATGAGTCCCAATCAAAATCAAGAGATAAAGTCACTGGTTGTTGTTCAGAGCGAAGTTGGAAGGTTCAGAAGTTTTCAATGAAGTTCTGCAGACAATTATGACCTTTAACGGGGAACCTTAGTTGATAAAGTTTACAACTGTCACAGATGTTTTCATTTCCTTTTTTCTTCCAAATCTTGATTTTTCATATCATTGTATATTTTATTGCCCAATCTCACTTGTTCTTAGGGAACAATATTCTGTATGTTCAGACATGCATTACCATTTATATTACTACTGTTTCGATGTTAGGTTCGAAGCTTCACGAGTTCACTTAATCTGCGAACGAGAACAAGACTCAGTGACCAAAGACCAGTAATCTAGCTATTGATGCGTTCCAGCCTCGCTATCTAGAAGTTCAAGCTTGGTATGGAAAATATATTCTGCAAACAGCCAAAAAACGAGCGAGCCCACAAACACAATTTAAAACGTATATATACAAATATATATAATCGATATTGTCATGGGAAATTTTTAAAATTAATCAATAAGCTTATCAATTGACAGCTATTTAATCTTTTAATCGATAAGTTAATCGATATGATAAAATCACAAAGATGAGTTCTGGGGATGTATCGTCCCCAACATTCGATTTGTCCACTTTTTATCTTATCAACTTTTTCGCTTTATATTGATGTGAAGTTTCGAGTATTGAGAAATTGACAATTTATGCCAGGTCCTACGTTGTGTAAATGACAACTAGAACCAACACTATGAAAAACATCTACCAACACAAAATTAAGTTTATATAAATTTACACTGTAAATAGTATATAAAGTCATGGATTCTCTTAAATAACCATTGTAATATTGCCTAACCACAAGAAGTTAATGATATCCAGAAGTACAACAAATGAAACGGATCTGGAATTAAAGTAGAGCCAAACAAGAAAATCTAACATTTTTAAAGAATATTAGTTGGAAAAAACTTTTCAGCAACTCGTGAATTTTTTAAAATCTTACCCCCAACACTGCTGATTGATAAATTGTGAATTAAAAACTCGATGCACGTTGTCTCCAAAGTTTTGATCTGTAGACATTTTGACAAATAGTAAACGTGTGGTATTAGGTCTTCGGGCACAGTAAGCCTGGTATAAGTGGAAAAGTTTTTAATTAGGAAGCTACGATGACAAACGGAGTAGATAAATCAATGTTGACAGACCAGAAAGTACTAACTACCACTAGTTGATATGGTTACTACATATGAAATTAAGTACTTTACCACATGGTCGGGATAAACCGGATCACTGTCTAATAAAAAAGGTGCAGTATATTGAAAGCTACTTACTAAAAATATTTTGTTGAATAATATAGAAATATGAATATTTGCTAACAGAAGCTACCTCGAAATATGGGTTTACTAAATTTCTAATGGGATGTGAATGAATCAGCATCAGTCTAGGTCCTATTACTGTAATGGTTCAAACAATTAATCCTTTCACAGCACAACAAATACCTGAACGAAAAAAGTATTACTATAGGATATTTAAAACATAAGGTTTAAATAATCCACTCAATATTTTGACCATAGGATTTAGTGGTACAGAAAGGAGCATGGGACCATGAGAATCCTACAAAAAACTTTATCGGTGACATGAAAAAACATACTACGAACGGTGTACTGCTATAGAGTACGAAAAGTGCATTTTATGCGTAAAAGGTTTTATTTGATACCTAATTACTAAAAAACCAGTACTCCCTAGCTAACGTACCTGACTTTTTTAGCACCAGATCACGAAGCGTAACCTCTCCGACGATTTTTAAAATCCGGGAAACTCGACAGTCTAACCGCTTTCGCTAATAGGTAACGTTCATTAATCAGTGTATGCGCAAGAATGTGGTTTAGATGTTCTTGTTCTCATCTTAACAAAACTTCGGTTAAATCATCTAAATACCATCACTTAGAGAAATTGGATACTTTAAACTACAGAAACGTGCTACTGTGGATAATAACAGAAAATTCACAAACTTCCCGTTGTTCACTAATATACAACATATAAGGGATGAAATAAAACCAAATTCCCTAGCCATTTTAATGTTACATAAATGTGCTAAACCTTTGTACGTGGTGAACACACTAGGTGAAATAAATTCGAAATTCCGAAAATTTCAAAGAATGCTGAACATGTTCAGGATTTGAGTTTAAGTAGTTCTCTGAAACGAAGAACGTGAGGGTAGATTTGTTCAAAACTAATTTACATATCAAACCCTTAAAATGAATATCAATAGTGAAAAAAACATCATTCTTTGCAAGCGATAAATACGCTACAAACTCCTAGTATTAATAATACATTTATTACAAGTCAAGTGAAGTAAGACAGTTGCTAATAGTAAATAATGAATATTCGGAAAACCTGATTCCCATAAACAAAACTTACTTTAAAGTAAGCATATAATTTAATACCGCTTCAAAAATGTCCGCAGATGCATCAATAAAAACCTTGAGTGAAGACGAAGTCTTTGATCTAGTTACTTTCAGTATGCAACCATGTGTAGAGCTGTGATCGAAGTCTTCGCTTTCTGACTGAAAGCATTTTTTCAGCTCCTCACTCAATAAGGAAATTGTTTTTTGGTTTCCATGATAAACATTCTGACCAACAATAAATGTGACATCTGTCCTCTCAATGGTATCAGAATCACATTCAAGTACACCCGATAATTCCTTGCAGAAATAATTGAATATTTTGGCTTTGGATTTTTTAGAAGAAGCTCTTTGGCAATTGATAAGTGCACACATATCCAAAGAACGAAATTTATAGTAAGTACAATCGCCAATAATAAGACCAGTTAGCAAATGCGATTAACAATTATCTGACGTAACACAATTACCTAACGAGTCATCTTTGATGATGCTGCAGCCACAACTTACCTTCAATAAACACAACAATAAAATGGGATTAAACTTGAAGAGTATATTGATACGCTTAACAACAACATCGACAGGTAAATTAACTCTAAGCAGGCATATGACAAAACTATCTCATGGCCATGGATATGGTTACGCACTTGTAGGTCAAATGGAAGATACTCTATTGGTGCGTTGACTACGGAAATAAGTCATTCAGCATTAACCGGCAAATTTAATTTTTTTTCTTCACAACATAAAAATTCACTCATCCAATTCATAGTTCAAACGACGAAATTTTCTTGAATGTACACCTGCTTATCGTTAACAGTTGTCCCTTCCTTTCAACATGCTCATTATCCAGTTTAGAAATATTTTCGTTTTTACTTCTACTTTTTAACTGCCTTAAATTGCACTATCCTGGGAATTCTTAGTTAGCAAATCAATTCGAATATTTCTCATCATAATATTGGCCTTGCGATATTGTCTTTGGCTAGATAGTTGGATGTACATCTAAATTCTGAAGCCTTCTAGGATTACATAGGATGATTGGAAATCTAGAGTGAGGCCATCCTGTAGTATTGTAGCGGTGAATAAATCCCCAAAATAAATAGCTCTGCAAGTTTTCGACATTGGATGCTGACCACATATTTCAATGGACCCACCTAGCTGAAGGCGCTCGGTCGTGCATCCGCACCAGATCAAGAGTGAGAACGCCGTGCTCAACATCTACTGCAATCGCTAGCCAGATTAGATCAGACAATTACGATATATTGATGGTCATCAAATATATCTTCCAATCTCCTCGATTTTGTCTTTTGATTTCTCTTGGTGGGTATGAGTTATATTAGGTGTTATTGGTTAAGGCGTTGTCAAACACTGAATACCTGCGCCATTTACAGTCTCATTGTATGACTCAAATGTGTAGTCTTCCACCCTGGCCACTCAAGTCATTTTTTGTCCAACTTTGATATGCGGAGACGATTAACTAAATTAAATACGCAATCAAACGTATAACGGAAATTGCCAAATATCTACAGCCCTTAATATTTCCTACACAATGGTTCTAACCAGTGCACTTCTACAGTACTCATCAGTTGTCTTCGCACAACATTTTGACCTCTAAAAGGTCAGAAATTGTAGTTTTTAATAAATTTTACCACCACAACAGTGGGGGCTTATCGTAACTGCTACGGTCTAGTGCTCATTATCTCTTTAGTAATACGGCATAAATCAGACAGTTCCGTGAATGTTCTGCAACCAGAAATGTCTCCTAAGTTTATGCGTGCTTAATTAATGATGTATTTTGGTGTTTCGTTTTTGTCTATATATATCGAGGATGGCCTGTCCAGATGAAAACCAATGATTTTGTTATGCTCTCCTTTTAAATGACCCAAGTTTGAGCGCATATATACGTGTTGTCTGTCTATAACGACATTGCTATATTCCTTACTCAAATTTCAAAGCGCGATATTCTTATATTTGTTATCTTCAAGCACCGACGACAAACCAATTCAATGGGAGCTAGAATTATAATATTCTTGAGCATATATGTCAGTAACTGAATTAGTTAGCGCATGCATAAGTGACAAACAATTAAAATATAATAGGACTGAATAAACACAATTGGACCGAAACAATAGTAGTATTGGATTAACACCAGATTTTGACCTTTTTGTACTTGAATTGGATTAAGATTGACACCGGTACTTAGAAACACGGGCAATTATATTAGAGTGTAAATGACACTGAGGTAGGCTGTACAGCAATCGCATTTCAGTGAAATAAATCCAGGATAGAAATTAAACAGCGGGATATTGGGAGGACTAACATCTGAGGCATTCAAACTAATCACACAAAAGAGGAAATGTTGACCGATGGAATTGAAATGATGCACCTGACAGCCTTAAATATATATATATATATATATATATATATATATATATATATATATATATATATATCGTATCTCAAGATGTATACGCAATTATATTCCGTGCTAAACACCGTAAATATCCCCCGATTTGCTCGTGATGTTTCTGTCTTGGTCAGTATTAGTACACTTATCTATGCTGCATTTAACAATAGAACTAATTCATAATTATGGATTTACCATGATGTGACCAGGTGATTTACTAAATCTTGCTTGGAAGACACATCATTATTTATACGTTCTCCTTCTATCGTGACAGTAAGTGGCTGCTGCTGGATTCCTCTGAAGAATACATATGGGCTGAGGAGAGGATAACATATTTAACGTGAAAAGCAAGTGGTTACTTAGTGGTGACCACATCTGCATGGTACAGACATTCCATATCGATTAAGTCCTTCGTGCTCACAATTTCTGACTTTCTCTAAGTGTTAAATGTTGGGTGTAAATATTCACATTTAGCGTTCTCTCGGCTTTAAGGATCATGTAGTTAAAAATCACTAACTCATCTGTAACTTGAAAACAGGTTCATTCGTGACCAGAATATTGCACATTGGACAGTTCAGAGAAATAATGTGGTAAATAATTTTTCCTGTGTCACTTATACTTCACTACTCTTGTAAACTTCGCGCTTCTAAACATATCTGACTTTATTCATCATCTGCCAGCTTAGACTTCTTGGGCAGTCAAAAAGGTGTTTGTGTTTACTTGGAACTTCGTATTGCCTATTTCGGACTTGAGTCAGTGCTCAAGTTGGCTGCTTGTCAACCCACGTTTCTCTTCTTGAAAGGCTTTTTCTATGTCTTGAGAATTTCTCTACTGTAAGTACTATAGCTAAAGTTTCACAATTTATCATTTAAGCCAAATCGTACTAAGGCATCGCACTTCCGCAATTTCTGAGGGGTCATTAAGGTTTAAATTCAATAAGCCTATGTATGCCATTTTCACTTCCGTGGTTTTCATGTATCTATTCAATTGTTATTGATGTAAACTAGGATTTTCAGCAGGTATACAAAAGTTTCGCACTTGTGTCTACAGATTAAAGTTTTATGAACACATGTTCCCGTGAAGACATGGAAGTTTGAGTTCACTCATCTGGATTTTTAGGGATTATTATTGACGTTCATTACAATCACACTGTAGAAAAATGAAAAGAAAGTTATCATGAACTGTTTGAAATCTGTCATTATCGGAATTGTATGTTTATGTATAGAACTGGCTAGCTACGATTAGTAAATAACACCGAACAGCCTCTATTAATTAGGTCCGATAACGAATACGCCACTTTGATTTTAGTAAAAATGACAGCTAGAAATCAAAGAGAGCACGATTTTCTCTAGTAATTCAGTATTCTAGGGTGATTAAAGTTAAGTGATACACTAAAAGTGGAATTCTTATTGTTTGTAATAGTGTTGACCATGATTACCTAGGTTTGATATATTGTTTCCGGGAATCTTGTGGGTTGGCATGAAATGTTAGATGTAGTAAATCATGAGTAAACCCAGAATCTTTTGTTAAAAGTGCTGAGAAGACAATGACGTTTATCACTCCTTTCAATGGTGTTTTTTTATCTTCATTCACACATAAGTAATTAAGCCTGAGAGTTGATGATAATTTATTCATTGAAATAACACTGAAAGCTGGTTAAAGTAGATTATCATTTCAAACGATCTTCAAAAACCGATTACAAGATGCTGGATTGACAATTCCCTTAATTTCTTCAGACGCTTAGTAATTTATGTAAATACCCCGTCAGAAATTATTTAAAATAGCAAACTAAGAACTTTAAAAAGAAGTCCCAATCACCAACAGCTTTTTAAATCTAGACTTATACATCATATCACTTGAGGACTCAGTGGGACCATGGAAAACAGCTCCGAAACACTCGCTTTTCTGAAACACAATTAAAGTCAGCCATAATCTATGTTTGGGTTATCCTGTGAAGCAGTCTATTGAAGGCACTACAATTCCTTTGCATGGGAAGCAGAATATTGAACCGAAAACAGACGTAGTAAGAAAAATGCTGGGAAAATAGTAAGACTTATGAGATTGTAATAGAGAAATTGTTCTTTCCTATTTCATTTATTTTTAACGCCAGTCAGTAGCAGCGTTGTTCGCATTACCACACACCACTCACAGATAGTTGATTGAGAAGGAAGCTCATCAATCCACATTCATGAATATCACACTGTTTGACGCCTTTCATTTTAATGCACACCGTTATTACTATTTATTATTGATGTAGTAGATTTTTTACCCACTTACTCTCTTGATAAACCTCACCTGAGATTATAAATTTTATTCTGAGGTTTAATTTTTTTAGATTTTCGTTTCACCTATATGTATTTTTAAATACTTATTCTTAAAGGGATATTGTAGTAGCGTATACAACAAGATACTAGACAAAGCATATTAAGCCCGTATGGTCGATGAAATAGTGAAAGTTTATCATCACATCAGTGATTTATAACAAACGGCCACGTCAGCCAGCTACGGGTTGTGATAACGCGTGCAGATCGGGAAGTTTCCTGGGAGGGTCTTCCTGTTCGACAATATCTAAATGGGTAAATTACGGGTTCTTTTTGGAGTATCTAAGAGACGTACTACATCTTTTGGAGTAACAACACCAATCAGGATTAACTGCCTTTCGTGGTCTAGAGAAAGCTCATTTTTGTGACGAAGTCCTTCGAGGTGTTTGTGAGCGTTTGTGATTATTATAAGCAGGTGAGAGTATGACACCGATCTGTAATTTCATCTAATATCATTTGATGCTTTTCTTTGTCAGTACAAACTTCCATCCTCGGAGTTTTGAAAGTAAGCGGTTTCCGATAGGCACATTTATCCAGCTTGTCCTAGGCGTTATAATACGGTATAATAAGAACCATCCGCACCTGTTTGGGAGCCTAAACAAAAGGGGCTGCCTAAACGGGCTCCCGTCAACGGTCTTTCAATCAATGACCTCTAGCAGTTCTGGCAATATGTCTGTTACTGAAGCGTGTCACAACTCGGTGTGAGAAGCTGACCTAACCTATGTCGGACGGTCAGGTTTCCACGCTTAGGTATAGGTATTAAGGGTTTATTTGGACAAAAAATATTCAGTGTTACAACTGTCTTCATTCATATTCAGCACTTTAGTTGCTGGTCATTCATAATTTTCTTTCAAACGCACCGTTTGATCACATGAAACGTCTAAGAATCTAACCAATTGCTTGGTAAATCTTCGTTTTTCTGGAAGTTGGACGAGTTCTTTAGTTGGATCCTGTCCTTTGCTTCTTATACTTTCTATGGCGAAAAAATACATCACACAACGGCCGGGTACTGTAAACAAACAATTCAACAGATTTCTATTCGCTCGCATCTTCACTTCATTCTATTTTTTGTTACAATACATAGATTGATTTCCTCCCCAACATTGACACATGTAGCTATTTGCTCACATAAATTCTGACTTGTATGTAAAACTTCGCGTACAGAATTACTTGGCTACTGGTTTGTTGAGTTCTATGCATTTTTTATGTCACTTCGTCTGTAGAAACAAAGTTTTTATGTTTGACCAGGCAGAACACTTGTGTAACTCTAAACGCAACCTAGAATTATACACCTACCTGACAAGCACACAAAAACGAGGAGAACCTAAGAACACAGATCAAGATATTGTTACAGGGTGACTTAATGGGAAATTTTCCAAGAGTACAATTAATAAATTTATTTACATTAGAAAAGTTATGTACTGCATTTTTAATACATAATATATATCACTGGTACATAGTTAACTACAGTCAATTATAATGCTGAAAACCGAAATTCACATGTCTTCCTCACCCTATACTATCACAAGTAAAGCATAAGACATTAGCCAAATAAACTGAACATGATCAAGAAAAAAGGATACATACAAACAAACTGACAACACTGACACAGAAATGTAATTTATACGTGATGAACTACGTGTACATGCTTTCGCTTATATGTCAGAATGTTCGAAAGTCAAGTTACCACCAGTTTCATTGAGCAAATTATCTGGAACTTTTGCTTTTGTGAACAATATAACCCTTGAAGCATAATAAAGCATCATAAGCCAGAAAGGTACGTAAAACCAACGTAAATGCCTTCAAAACGATCAGTAAATTTTTCAACTTATTCCCATCAAGAGTAGCGAAGCCAAAGCAAATAAAGGTCTCAGACGTGGCGTTTGTGTTCACAAAGCATCAATTGTGAGCCTTCCATTACCTTGATAATAGAAGCGAAATAAACATTCTGGTACTTTGTCGGTGTACCCGCAGTATCAAAAGTGTGGGCTTTGGTCGGTCGCGTTGGAACTGGACACTCCAATTACTAAACACTCATTTTGTTTGGAAATGGTGGAAGATTCTACAGGTATTTGATGTTTTACAACGCTTTCATCGGCAAAACTTTCAATAATTTGATCATGCTAAGAAATGAAATCAAAAGTCAGAAGAGAGGGGATTCGAAGATATATTTGATAGTTTATCAATAAATCGACTAATCTAAACTGTCTAGTGGCTGCAGGAGTTGAGCACGGCCTTCACACTCATGATCTGGTGCGGATGCATAACCGAGTGCCTTCAGTCAGTTGAGTCCATTAAAACTAATATGGTCAGCATCAAATTTCGAAGCCATACAGAGTTATTGACTTGGGGATTCATTTACAGCTACAATGACCATGTCACGTACTCTGTCTAGCGTCTTGCATATTGTTGTTGCTACTGAATAACTGTCTATCGTATTTATTTAATGTCTTACGCATCAACACTAATGGGATAAAGTAAGGTGGACACGTGACAGAGTATTTTTTCAACATCACAATAAACTACAGTTGATTGTCACTAAAAGTATATTTATTTAGAATGAAAGACGAGGGGGTCGTGGACCAAAATACCCTCGAAATTTTTCATCGTAAAAATGATGAAACCACGGGATTCTTTTTCATATGAAAACTTCGGGAAAACTTCTAAAACGAGGTCGCACGCTTGCTTTAGTTTCATAGCTTCTGGGAGTGCACTTTCCAACTGTTACTCCACGATCATATTAACCATTAACAAGTAACTATTTAAGGCTGTCAGCTTTAGAAGGTATATAGCAACAGGCATATTTTCTCATTAATGCGAATCCTATGATAAAACATAGGCAGTGATTCCAAAGAACGGAAAATTAATTCCCTGACTGAACATATGTTGTTTTCTCAGCTTATTATCGTGCTTTTGATAACTAGATGATCCACTTTGAGAGGAACTTTATTTCTAGACTTCGACGTCAGGAATTTTTTTAAAATATTGTTTTTCTACACTATCTGGATATAATCAAGTGAGTCGTAAAATCAAACAAAGGGAATGTCGTTTAAGATTCCGCGAGTCGGTATCCAACGCAAGTTATTTGAGTAATTTTACGTTTAACGCAAGCTACTGCTGTATCAGTTCTAATTTAGATGGCGTTCAAAACAATCAGAGTTCACAGGATATAAGTTTTAGTGTTCAAAATAATAGCAACATCCAACAATGTAAAGATGAATTCGAAGACCAGTCGAGTCAAAGTTATTCAGAATATGTAAGCTTTATGCCCTAAAATGAACAAAACGATTTCTCAAGAACTCATCCTTCTGGACTTCGCTTCGTAATATTTGGAAACACTCTGATCGTGAAGATACATGCTTGATTATAGACAAAGACGATGAACATAATGATGAATTAAAACTAAGGTAAAATCTTCTTGCCATTTGCAGACGTAACCATCAGCAATTTGCTAAGCGACATAACCGACACCACGGATTACTTAATGAACAAGGTAGGCTTGGTATGATGACAAAAATTGTCATGCCATTTTCAGATAAGTATGTCACAAAAAATAATTGAATTTGCGAACCTAAACGGCAACTCACTTAAAACTACTTCAGAATCAGTAAAAAATCTATCTTTTGGAAAGAACATTATTATCGATAAACAAAATGTATGTGTACTGTCTTATGGTAAACCGTTTAGTATTTAAACGCGTTTTCGGAAAAAGTGAAAGAGTTTCCTCTTTCTATGGCTGAACGTTTAGATAGGTATGAACCTTTTAAAAGACATGCCTTTAGGATCTTTTTGGAAGTTGAAAATTCTATGGCTGATGAATCAAGCAACTTTGATCGTTTACCTGCATCATCTCGCAACGATTTAGAACACGCTGTTGTGACTCTAAGGAATGAACTCAAGTCTTTACAGAAAAGAAGTTAGTGTTTTTGTAGCAACTAAGTAAAAATTTCAGGCAATAGAGATGAATTCATGTCGTATGGAAATATACTGCACAGTAATGGAGTCCCAACACAAAATAAGAAACAGCCAGCACATGGACTTAATAAGTACATGGTACTATTGACAGTTTGTCTTCTTGAACTTTTCTAAAGTTGTCTAGTACAGGATCAGAACTCTCTATTCACATGAAGTTTCGAACACCTCTTTCGATTGCTGCGAGAAAACCTAATATCCGGTCTGTACCAAGGTTGATAAATAATTTACGGTATGTTTAAAATTTATTGGTAGTTTAAGAAAGGTAAGAGATAAACGCAAAAAGCGGGTGTTTTCAGACCATCCAGTTTGATATTTGATTTTTAAGTGATTGTTTATATACACAGGTAAAATGAGTTATTTTTACTTGTGGAGAGAATGATACTGGATCAATCATGAAGCTCACAACCACCGAAAATTTTATTTTCTGAACTCTATGAAGTAGATTTCTAATGGGTGTTCCACGAAGAATGTTGGTGTGATACTTTGAATAACATTTGAAATTTATTATACCTTATATTTGCCTCAATAAACATGCAGTATTTAAAATAGGGTACGGAACGGGCTAGTCTAAGTGAGTCCAGAAATATTCAAAGGTCATTGTTTAACTCATTTGAATAAAGGTTTGATATAAAACCCGAAGATTGAAACCTAGAAGAATGTGGAACCATGTAGCTTTTGGTTGTTTCTGAAGATATTTCGAACTTCTAACTGTTAATACACCGATATAGATTGGGGAGTTGTAGACACATAATCACTCGATACTGCAGATAGCAGTTTTCACGAAAATAATCAGGAAGGATAAAAAAAACTTGCGTATACGACATGGTAGTGCATTTTTCAAACATATCGTACTTACAAAAACCATCTGCTTGCTTAACACGAAAATGTTGAGGGTTACGTCATGAAAGCAGAATCGTGTCTATAAATGCTATTATTTGAGGAGTCATACGACTTTAAGAAAGTAAGTGACAGGTTTTTTAGATCAAATTTTTGAATAAAAAACGGGAACATGTCGTAGCGGTTGTTGCGTAATCAACAGAACCTAGATAAAAGTTCATAATGTCATCAATTTGAATAATGTATAGAGAATTCAATCAGTTAGTGAGCTAACACCATTCATTTCCATTTCAATGATTTAGAGAACAAAAAATATGTAATGAAGATTACGCAGATCACAGAGCACGGAAGACAAGCAAGTTTCAACTGAAAGATGAATCCAACTACTACCAAAATACGGATTATTATATACATTCACCTGAAATGACATCTGATAGCAGTGACTGTATATCTTTATCTAGTATATCTGATATATAAATTACTGAACCCAGTATTTTCAATTTTTCGACGTACCGAGGACATAATAAATAGAAATTGCGCAACATGACAATAGTGTGTGTAGATACTGCAAAGTATTATGAAAAATTAATGCCTTGCAGAAATGTTATGAGAATATTCGATCACAGGAAAAGCTAGTTGGAAATGATTACGTTGCACGAAAAAAAACCAAGGCGTAGAGTGACCCTGACTCATGTATATTGCTGTTTGGGTTAAAATTCATCTCGTTACACAAGCCAATAGCCATCTGGACTAAGTAGTTAAGTGGATAACGCGACAGAATTTGAAGCAAAAGTACTGGCTTTAAGTTCTGGGGTGGAAATAACACTAGGATGCAGGTATACCCAACTGACATGTCCCAAATCAGACGAAACACGCCTCCCAGATTCCACTACTAGCCGCCATCCATCTCTTCTTAAAAGGAGTAGAGTTGTGGAAGACGACATCCCTTGTAGTAACAATAGTTCAGTATCCCTTCTGAGACGATGAGATACGCTTATTGCCAACAAATGTAAACTGTTGCACTGACAACCAGTATGACAATCAGAAGTAGTTGAGTACGTTGACTGTTTGACTTTCAAAAGTCTTAAATTAGTGACTTACAATAATTCGGCACAAGCACGGAAAGTCCGTCTAGGTTTATTAAACTTGTGTCATCCGTGACGCTGGCTGAATGCTTATTTTTTTTGCTGAAAAGAAATCCAATAAGCATAACTAGCATGAGTGAAAAAGACATTCTGGAAGCAAAGGACATGTGAGTCGCAATGTTTTCGAAGTATTGCTAATGTATGTTGGAACAATCGATTGAGCGATGATGGTTTCGTGTAAAAGTAGGAAACAGATTAGCATGATAGTTAACTTTGATCAACGAAAGTGGTTAAGAGATGCGTCAACTACTTTTGCCGTCAGGAAGCAACAATGACTAGCATCTAGAAAGTTGAAAAAAGTCAAAATGACATTGAGATATATTATCGCTACATAAAGGCGATGTTCACAAGTCTGTGCTATGTTGGCAAGCGTAAGCAACTTGTTTATAGTCCTCAAGAGTTATTTTGACTTGAATTCATTTTCTGTCATCTTTATAACCATTACTTCCTTTCAGCATCATTCAGATCTTGTTTTTAACTACTTAATGTCCCTTTGCTGCACGCGTATGAAGAGTGATGATTCGAATAAACAAATATTTGTGTTAGGTTCAACATTGTTCCGCTCTTCTTTGTGATCCTTTGATGGAGTGTGACAAGAAACACACTTTAGACTAGATATTTTACTTAAATTTGGTTAACTCTAATAGTATTCTCCAAGACAAACTTATTTACTTTTGTGAATCTCAAAAAGCGTCGAGTATCGCTGTAGTTATTTACGAAATATTTTATGTTTTAAATACGATTTGTATTACACAATGTCCTAAAATAATTTTTAAAGAAACTTGTCTCTGAAAAATTATATTGAACAAGAAAATTTATATAAACCTATCACTAAACGTTTTTTGAAATGGTCTGTTTCTCACTGTTTTTAATCATTGAGAAAAGATTAATGTAGTGGCTTTAAGTAATGCTACTATATTCAAATGTTTTTTCGATTAAATCAACCTTGAGAAATTTCGGGGATTATTACATTAATTAAATGAACGATGTAAAATAGTAGGGTCGATATGACGCTGTAATGATCAATGCCCAGAAATATTCTAACAGGACAAACTAATGGCGATTTATTTATATACAATATATTCAACACGCGTTACATAACAAAAAAAAGAAAATAAATCATGAATAGAAATAAAGATAAAAAGCTAATTAATGATCATCACATTTTTAGTAACCATAGCACATATATTGATTGTCATATCTTTAAAAATTATGGAAAGAATACATATACTGTAATACAAAACTTTTTTAAATCAAAGAATAAAATTGTAACGAAATTCCGAGGATCATTTTGTAAAAATTCATATTATGATATAACACATCCACTGTCATTTTTCGGATCCTTATCAGTACTAAAAATAGGCATTTCACGAACTGGCTCAACTGGTTCATCTTTGGTTCCAGAATGTTTGTGATCTTTTGAATTTTTCTGACAGAAAGACGGTAAAGGTAGCAAACACAGACGGAGTAGAAATTAAAAATTCCTTTATCACAAATTACGAAATACAGTTTAATGTAATATGTAAATGATTTACGGATCGCGAAATTACGCATTACTCACACTAAGAAGTATCACTGATAATATGATGAACTATTTTTTTATATCTTACTTCATCTTCTTTAAAGTATCTGATAGGATCGAAACTTACATATCCATAATATTTTTAAACTAATGATTGAACATTACAAAGTACATAAGGTAGAAGTTTGAAACGTCATTCTCCAAAACCCCATTTCATCAGTTAATGTATTATCTAATTACTACAACTTCTATCATCAAGTAGATTTCTTCCTCATAATTCCTCTATAATTTCAAGTATAAACTACGTACCAAAAATATTGATTCTGACAAATGAAGTCACTAAACAAGTCGCGTTCCAAAATGAATTTGTTTAGTATCAAACATGAGTGATCAGGTCAGAATTCGCCGTCGAAAAGATAATCAAAAATTTAGCAATTCCCAGTAGTTTACGTCTAGCATTACAAGATAAGTACAACAATCAACTATTAAAATGGGTTCAAAAAAATATAAATATAAACATAAACTGTACAGTTTGCTATTAACTTGTACGAATTAGAAACTGAACTTTAAAATCTGTCATATATATGATCGTAGTCGAAAACAGCAAAATAATCTGTTTGAACATTTCTCCTTAAAGTATAACTTTTAGAAAGTATCCAATTTTATGTCCACACATATAAACACTAGTTCAATTCTTTTTAATAATTGATCAGAGTTCTATTTGTTGTGCTACTAATTATGTGGAGAATGCAGTAACATGAATGTTATTTACTGAATGAAAACTGAAAGTCCAATTTAAAAGATCTAAAGTTATTTTAAAGTTTCGAATTTTGCTACGACTTGTAAACGATTGAACTCATCTGTATTGTCAATAACAAAAAATTCGTCAGTAAATTTATGAAAACTTTCTTCAATAAAGAGTGAAATATTTGTCAAGGAATGGATACTTGATGTAATTTAACTATTTGTGGTTTTAAAATGTCATGTAAACCAGAAAGATGAAAGACATCATAAAATTATTATTTCTATCTGACAATCCATCAAACGATACCTTTTCTTTAAAAACTACACATAAAACTGCGAAAAGTAGGTAAAAAGATCCTTCAAAATATTTTATAAAAAATAATATATGGGGTTAGAAGTACACACAAATTTGTGCACTATCCAGTGACTTTATACATGTGTTGGGTAACACTGACTATTCAAACCGATGTATGGAGATTTAGTTCTAAGCAGTGGTGTTGAAAGCCCTAGAAATTTACTTGGAAAAGTTTTCCGAATCTGAAAAAAGACTAAGCATACTTAGTTCAGTCAGCGTTGAATAGAAACTTTCTAGTTTTTGGAAAACTACAAAATTACTTGTCATACCTTGACTTGACAATAATCGATTCGGTTATTCTGGTATTTTTTCAGGAGCTACTAGGATATGAAGATCACAACACAAACCCATAAATATTCATGCTTCCTGCACCTAAACTAACAATGGAAGTATAGCTTGTTTTCATACCTCACACTGTTAGTATTCTTTTGGAGACCAAGTATGGGAGATCCCTATCGAACTGGGAAGCGATTATGATGTTAATATCCAGCATTTAAGTACCAGATATCTCAGGTGACCCACAGCTCAGAGAAAAGACGGGTAAGCCGCGGCTTTTGGCCTATTTGTCAAAAACGAAGTAATACAAATGAGTACTGTGGTATTGCGATAGTAACTACTAAGTAAATACTACTAAGAAGCTTATAATGGTGTCAGAAAGTTAACTTACGGAGTTTGATAAAATATTCTCCACTACTTTGCTAGTATCAAAACCAACGTAGGCGTCTTTCCATCTGGGATCTAACTCGAAATTGAGCTCAGGTTCTTTGGGCGCTGCGATGCCATATTCCGCTTTTATTTCCAAAAATGGAGCGACACTTGGAACTTTCTGATGATATCTAAATTTATTAAAAAGATTATCGAGGAGAAAATGAGTTAACATGTGAATTGTCAATGTAAAGGAAAAATTAAAACGGTAACGCAAGCACAGCAAATTAATACTCACTGTTAAGAAACAAAATGTGTCCAAATAATGTAGTTGGTGATTGGCTAGTGAGTAAAAAAAAACTCCAAGCATAGTGTGTATGGTGAACTAACTTGATATTGTGGATGGCTTCTTGGCATTCTGTATCTGTGCCAATATACATATGGTTATTGATATCTGGGCCTTGATCAGCGATCAGATAAGTGTCTACGGTAACATAATCTAGTCAAACTACATGTTACAATACAAAATATAAATCCATTCTTAAAATAATCAGGATAATTTTTGAAAGCGAAAAATTGTTCGCGATAAAGTTGGTAACTATTCGGAAGCACATTAGAAATGAGGCTTTCTAAAATGCAGCTATAGAATTTGACATAAATACTACTTTTATAAAAAATATTTGAAAAAAACATCACTTTCTGAATCATTCATATTTCCACCTTCATATGATTTAGCAGGCTATTAGTTAACAATCATCTTCACACAGAGATTAAGTAACAGATATTTTCGGTATACCCCAATCGAAACCGATACTGAAATATCAGGACGTATGAAACGTTTCACACTCCAACATTGTCCGACGAAGCCAGACCGGTAAAATGAAAATTGGAGAAAGTAAGTGTCGGACAAAGTCTATTAATTTCAAACGACACCCAGATTTATATAAAGATTACTTATCAGTGGTATCCAAATACTTAAGAAACTCAATTGGTTGAAAATGTAATTCAGCTTAAAGGTAAGAAAAGTGTAGTAAAAGGCAACGCAGAGTTATGAATACTAACAAACGATAACTTTTAACCGTTACACCTTTTTTGAAAAATTCCCCAAATGTACAGCGAAGACTAAAATAATTAAAGTGAAATGACAAGGGTTTGTCTTAAATAGAAAAACTTCAAATTTTCCGGTTTTGTTAGCTTTTTTCTAGTTCATATTTGCTGTTCTATCATCCATATGGTTATTTTGTCTTGCAGTTCGTCAATTTTCTTATCTCAAGATCACTATATTAATATATATAATAGATTGTTCTATTTCAATACTGAATTCTCAACTTTTTAGAACATCAAGCTCTGTTTGCATTCATTGATTATTCCTGGGTTGCATATTAGAAATTATTGCTGAAGTGATGTGTGTTAGTTGTTGTATTATCGAGTTTGCAATAGATTCCATTCGTATCAGAAGAATAATGATCGTTCATAATTAGAAATTACTATAAACCCGACCCAATTATAAACTATAAACCGAACAATTTTCACCTAGGTCTACCAATTCAAACTAATGCGTCGGGTCAAAGAAAACCGTGATTAACCAAAGGATGAATATCAATGTATCTGGCTGCATTAAACATAACGAAGCCATACATGGTTACTAAGTACATTGCTGAATTGAAGACTCTCAGATTAAAAATTTTGTAACCTCATTCTGTATAAATAATCCTAAGTAATGAGAGACCAAAAGAATTTTTGACAAAATTCTCAATAATTAAGGTTCACAACAACAAAAGAAATAAATTTTGTTTTGCAATATGGATACAATGAATCACATGTTCACGATTTATTTCACTTATCGAAAGTATATATAATTCAGTAAAATTGATCAACCTATAAGCTACTATAATTTTGATAAAATTATGTATTGCCATGACCTTTTAAATAATTTATACTTGGTAACAAACCTATTGCAACTCACATTTCTAGAATATTCAATATTGATATATCTTGTGATAAAGCGATTATGATATTGACTGGCTTATCATTAAGAAAGTATGATTATATTCATTTAATCAATATTACCAATACCATACTTAATTTCATTTTACAAAATAGGTTATAAGAATAAGCAGAAATTAAGCAATGTCATAGTGTTGTAAAATTAAAGAAGACTGCAAATGATCAATCTGTCAGCTGCGATACAATCATCCTGAGCTGATGGCTTTGATACGGCGTTGTGTCATAAATTTTAGTATATTTTGTGAGTAGCTATCAGTGGGGTCCATAATGCAAGCTACATCCTATTTGGCACTTTTCAGTTGAATGTACCTGAATTTGTGATGATGTTCACACTAAGATTTGAGCTCAGTAACTTTTCCTCAGTAGCTGATACAATGACGCCCAAAAGTATCCTAAAAATCAAGTCTTAATTGGACTAAAGGAATTCAGAGGTTTAGGTTAGCAATATGGTTTTATGATTAGTCATTACTCGGCCACATTTTGTATCACTGCAAATCATCCATCAACCAATATCCCAATTATCGATTTCAACGATCAAAAATTTTCTATTTAAATGACGAAACTCTACCTTACTAAAGTAGCTCGGTGGATAACCTTAAAGATGTATAAAGCGAAAGGTACTATTTAATTTCAAATGATTTTAGGTTAAACCGTCTGTGACATTTCGACTGGAATTTCATCAGTCTTGATCAACGGAATAATCTAAATCCACTACGAATTAAATTAAAACACGTACTCATGGCTACTTATATTAATTAGCTAAGTGGATAACGTGATGGAGCGAAAGTTACTGGGTCCGAATCAGATGGTAGACATTAACTCAAACATCCAGCTAACGAGCCACAAAATGAGACGAAACATGTGTCCTGGATTTCACAGCTAGACACATACTAAATGAATCGACCCTTGCAACTAAATGGTTAAAAGTGATATCATTCATGAAAAAATACTGGTCAAGGTTAATAACTTGAAAACATGCAATAACCTACATTAATCCATTTTCACGTTCACATTTATTATGTGTACGTTCAATTAGTCCAGGCAGACGACGGAAAAAACAATGATCAGGTGGTTTAGTTGACAAACTGACACCTTCAACTTTTGTGTATTCACGTGCAGCACGAATTGCCTTCTCATATGCTTTAAAAAATATATATATACAACAGACGAAACTTTACTTTAGCCGACAGAGACGTTGCGCAAACGTTAAAGATGATTTGCCAAAAGCTAGTATTTTCTCAAGCACACTAGCAAGTATGGGAGTGTCAAATATAATATTGATTCTACAGTAAAAATACTGAATCACCCAGTACTCTGATGTAATTGAATTGAATTCTCAGTTGATTAGTCAGTCATCTTAGAGCTTGGGACAAATGCTTATTGGTTTAAGATATTATACCATATCAGCACGGTGAGACGAAATCAACATAATGATAATAAAAGCAGTCAACATAGCTGTATTATCAGTGATATTCAGGAAGTCTAAACATTTTCAATATTGTTCTGAAAGGAATAGAAATATATGTATGAGGAAATACGAGAACTCAAGATCCATGAGAAGATAGAGTGAATTCATCGACCACGCTTTAGACGATTCTAAGCCGTCACTCAAATTCTCCAACACTCTATAACAATCATTGTGCAAACCTTAATCAAGTAGTCTATATACATCATCATGATTCAGACCGACAGTAAATAACTTCTTAAATTGATATCACGTTTTTGTTTGGTCACCCCTAGCTTTATATTTAAATTACACCTACACCAGCTGAAATCATCTGTCGAGGTTGCCGGTGATTAGGCATACGAAAAATTCAATCAGCTTTACTTGATAAATGTACTGAAATCCGATAATCACAACAATAACTTACGAGCAGATGCCTCTTTAAGAATCGCCACAGCTTGACCTGCCTTTCCCTTTTCCAATAAGTCCTCACCATAGTAAACATACGCCTTTAAGAGAAATAAATTTTTGACAGATGAAAATTGGAATACCAATGACACTGCATTTATAGTGATGAATTAATAAGTTAGAAGATGATGTATCAAATAACCAGGAAATTTCATGTACGAAATATATGTCATCTTTGATAAAAGTTATGGTTAACAAACAATGGAATGACTATTACAGTTCTATTGACTATTTTCCTACAAATAATATTCAAAGTAGATATCAAGACTATGGATGGATTACTTCCCTCCCTAAAAAAAGTAACCTCAGAACGAGTAGAAACAAGAAATATTCACATATGTTCTAAATTTACAAATCCCGCGGATAATATTAAAGAAATTTTGTTGCTCCTTAGCAGGATCTCTTTGATACAGATTAATTTCGTCATACAATAATGCTATTTTCCATGGACCCTAATTTGATTTATCTCTTACTCATTATAGAACTGCTAACCTACAAAACAATTTTAAACTTAATAGCATATATAAGGTGTACTTACAGTGACGTCACAGTACAAAGTAAAAGGAGAGGACCAAACAGTGAAGGATCTCCTAAGTTTATCTTTACCGAATGGGAATATTGAAGGCAGGAGAATAATTGCTTCGATTACGTATATTTACCTATTTTCTTACTGGTTATGATTTTTTACCTAGTTTATCATACGGCCTAAGGCTTTAGTGTTTATAAATATCATCAGTTTGCTTCTAAATGACCAAATAATGTATCGAGTTGCAAACCAATTTACTACTGCAACATGTGAAGGGATCGAGGTGTCATAAATTCATCCGATAAGTAACAATAGTATTACAATGACATAATGGACCATGTAAAAATACCTGTGTGAATAATCTAGTCAAACTGATAATTTGCTAACGAAAATTAGGTCTAAATTCCTATTGAATGACTATCAGTAAACAGCATAACTTTAAATCAAAACTGTTCTCTACAAATTACCTATGTTCAACCGAAAAAGTTCTAGTTGAGTTATGTATCAGACAGCAAATAATGAATTGAGCAATGAAATAAATATTACAACAACTACAGAGAAAAACTGTCATTCTAACGAAGGTTAATAACATATGATAATCATGGCTAGTACAACGAACTTAGTGTTAGAGGTTTGATGCAGTTAATTATTGAAAAATAAGTTTTTAAACTAAATTAATACACATCAAAATATCTGTATAAACATTTAGGTGTATAATATAAAATGTAAATATTTAGGTTGGATCCACTTTTATTACATTATACCATTTAAAAGTAAACAATGATAGTGATGGACCGTATTACCTATGACAACACCAATGATTAATAAACAGATGATGTAAAGAAAAAGGTTAACAATGCTTTCAAAATAATTATTATTCAGAAAATTGTTTTAGGGAAAGACTGATTGACGACAGGCTAGTTATCCATAATGTAGAATTAAAATGTTGTTTACCGTTATCTAGACATTATAACAATTTTCTATAAACACTTAATATGTAAACTAAACAATTTTAATTTGAATAATCTAAAATAACATTTTAATAGATGCCAAGTTATAAGTTGTTTCTGAATAACTAATATTTTTGAAAAATATGCCAAAAGTATATTGTCGTAATAAAAATTCAAGTTATTGTTAGCTTTTTATTAGCTTCCAAAAACAAGAACTTCATGAAGGACACTAAAAGAACTTACATTTTACACAGAATAAGAAAATCGAACATAAGGATTATGAGCTAATTTACAGAAAGGTGTAAAACATATCAGTAGTTCAAAAGGTGTAGATTATTGATTTTTTTTTAAAAAAAGATTAGGACAAATACAAATAACTTAGATTATAAGCGACTTTGATTATTCTTACCATATTTCAAAGAAAATAAACCTAAGAATATTTCAGCTTAAAAGAATCGTTCAACTTTACGATGAGTTGTAAGCGCATTCAGCTCAAATATATACTACAAAACTGATTCCTTCAAATGTAAAAACCTTCTTTGGATGATAAAAAGGATTCTCAATTTTTGATTTTGATTTTGTAACGACGTTATAGTTTCATATTTTTGAAGCATTCTGAATGAATAACTGTGAGTCAACGTTCATGTTATAAAAAACGTTTTGCCAAAGGCTAAGAAAATTTAATCCATTTCCAATGAAATGTAATACGAAAATTAGAGCCCATTACACAACTCAAATGTTTGATAATTATAAAATAGGGTGAACCATGCTGATAACTTACAAGAATGGCAAAAATGATCGGTAAAAAATAAGACGAGTACTAATTGAATAGCAATTTTACCAAGATGAACAGATACCTATCTCTTTAGTATACGTTAGTATATAGGGTTTCAAATTTCTTCATCATATAGCAAAGCTACAACTTTGTCACATTCAGTCAAACAATATAAACTCGCTTTCCAATTAAAGTACTTAACGACTAAGTGTTCAACACTTTATGATTAAACGGTAACGTCATCATACTGGATTGTTGCCTTTATGAAATATCGAATAAATTCAGCAGGACAAGACAAATGCTACTGTTTCAGAATTATGGCGATTGAGATATAAGTATAAGTCATAACGAGTAATGTGATCGTTCACATAGGCAAATTTGCTACCCAAATGAACATAGTTAATCTTATTTTTACTTCTTAAATACTCGTATTAACTAAAAGTATTTTATTCACCGAATACACTATTATAGATAATGTATTCTTCCATTTAATTCGGTTGATCAAGTGTTATTATCGTGTATCATAATCTGAGTTGAACACCAAAATGTGACCGTCAAACACGAATAAACAACATTAACTCACTAAAACACCAATAGAACAAATAATTACAAAAGTTATTTGTGATATATACATAAAATTCTACATGGAAATCGCTCAAGATCCGAAATTCAAGTCAATCAGCTATAACGTAGGTCCTTGCACATATATTGCATCAGTCCAAGTTGCCACACCTCATCAGCACAACAAGATGATCACCAAACTCACAGAAGTGTTTACTTCAATTGTAATAATATATAAAAGAAGCATTGTATATAAGGATATAATGCATGAAGAAAAATTAGTTCACAGAAAGGTATAAAGTAATTTTAATCTCACGGTTTAAGAGAAGACAAAGAGTGTATGCACCTACGCCATTGTGATCGATTCTGGGCCATGCCACCCAGAATCTCCAACCATTGATTACGATAGTCACGCGAACCCCAACCAAATAGTCTACATCTGCCAACAAGGCCCAGACCAGAAGTTAATGACTTCAAGGACTGATGTCATGTTTTAGTTTGGTCGCCCATAACTTTCTCCCAACCGTCTCCAACACTTATCAGCATTGCGCGCCGTGGTAATCGGTGTTCAGGCATACATAACACGTGGCCCAACCTTCTCAGTTGACAAAGATTCACAACCTGGTCAACTGATTTACCATCATTCCCTAATACCCTGTGTCCAACCTGACTATTACTTACCCGATGATCCTAGCAGATGCTGGCAATATTTCTGAAACATCTGTGATCAAATACTAGTAACTTACGAGTATTTTCTACCCTTAATGGACACGTTTCATAGCCGTAAGATAAAACGGAACAAAATGCTGCGCAGTGTACTCGTTTCTTAGTTGATAGACGGATATCTCGCCTTCTCCGTAGGTGGCTTATGTTGGCAAAAGCCAAACGAGCTTTTTGAATGTGTGCAGAGGCTTTATTAAACACCAACCCATTAGGGCCGACCAGACTTCGAAGATAAGTGAAGTTGTCAACGCGTTTAACTGCTTCACTCGCCATCCTTAATTCAGATGTTGACGCAGAACAGTCCTGAAGCAACTCTGCATTTAGAGGGGGAGAAACGCATTACAAACATCCTGGCATTGTTGTTGAGTGCTGCCAAGAGACTGAATTTTATCAGCATCTTCATCAAACAGGACCATATCATCTGCTCGAAATCCAAGTAGTACATAACAGATGAATTCGGAAAGAAAACATATATACATCGCGATTCTGTGTATTCGAGTGGATGAATAATGATATTATCGACAACATTAAGATGCCTATATCCCTGATGATTTAAGAGGTATACAACGGATAGCTACGATTAAAGATCGATAAATGAGTAGACACGTTAAATGTTTGAATAATGTCAATAAATAATTATCTAGAACTGATAAACATCTTATTTAATAGAGACAAAAGCTATTCATTAGTTGTATAAAGTCTATACACTTACATATGATTCATAACAGAACTGTTTAAATTCTGAATATTTTTTCCATTTCCCAACAATTTTAGGATTACATTGTGTTAAAGCCAAACCTGAAGAAAAAGAAAAAATTAACAAAGATTGGCAGCAAAATGGACTCTAAAACTTCACGTGGTGCTGGGTAGTGAAGGCAACCTTGCTAGCAAAAGTGGGCGGTCTGTGGAGATTGAAATAATTCACCACTTCTATGCTGATTTTGGATTACTCGGAGTTGACTCTCCGAGGTTTTAAAAATGATGACGGGTTGCCCCGTATGTATGAATTGTAGAAGTCTCTGCTTGTGTAGTTTATGTATGTAGGTATATGCAAAGGGTACGTGCGTGAGTCAGCACAAATAACGTAACCTGAAAAAAATATCTGCTGTATATCTGATAAAATCAGCGGGCTAATCCTAATGGTCGAAAAACATAATGAAAAAATATGGTGGTAAATACTATGAAGAAATGCCCATCAATCATCCCTGAGATACTGCTTACGTGTGTGTGCAGATAATAAGGTGCATAGATTTAAGTCTTTGGACATATGTATGCATGTTATACGTGGGAGACAGTCAGTTGTAGTATATACTTTCGAAGGGAGTGGTGATTATTTATTCCCTCAGATGAGACGATATATGCATATGGATGCCAAGGGATGCATATGTGAAAACTTTTTACTGGTATGCATGTAAACTGTATTTACCCCTGGTACTAGGGAATGATGGTAAATCAGTTGACCAGGTTGTGAATCTTTGTCAACTGAGAAGGTTGGGCCACGTGTTATGTATGCCTGAACACCGATTACCACGGCGCGCAATGCTGATAAGTGTTGGAGACGGTTGGGAGAAAGTTATGGGCGACCAAACTAAAACATGACATCAGTCCTTGAAGTCATTAACTTCTGGTCTGGGCCTTGTTGGCAGATGTAGACTACTTGGTTGGGGTTCGCGTGACTATCATAATCAATGGTTGGAGATTCTGGGTGGCATGGCCCAGAATCGATCACAATGGCGTAGGTGCATACACTCTTTGTCTTCTCTTAAACCGTGAGATTAAAATTACTTTATACCTTTCTGTGAACTAATTTTTCTTCATGCATTATATCCTTATATACAATGCTTCTTTTATATATTACTACAATTGAAGTAAACACTTCTGTGAGTTTGGTGATCATCTTGTTGTGCTGATGAGGTGTGGCAACTTGGACTGATGCAATATATGTGCATGGACCGACGTTACAGCTGATCGACTGATGTGTACCGGTTCAAGTCGCCATACTACATCCACACAGTAAGATTAAATTATAGAGACAAATTAATTAGTAGTATACGTAATAACGGTAATAAGGACACCACATCAAGATTCCAATGAAAGGAGATCTGAGCAAATGTGAAAACTACAGAGGCATTACACTACTGTCAGTACTAGGGAAAAAGTCTTTAAAAGAGTGTTACTGAACCAGATGAAAGATGCAGCAGACGCCCAACTTCAAGATCCACAAGTTGGATTCCGTAAGTATCGGTCGTGCACCGACGAAATTGCGACACTACGGATCATCGTCGAACAATCAGTTGAGTGGAAGTCGTCACTATACATCAACTTCATTGATTATGAAAAGGCATTTGACAGTGTAGATGGGAGAACGTTATGGAAACTTCTTCTACACTACGGAGTTCCTGAGAAGATTGTCAACATTATCCGGAACTCAGATGACAGACTACAGTGCAAGGTTGTGCATGATGGACAGCTGACAGATGCATTCCAAGTAAGGACCGGAGTCAGACAAGGCTGTCTACTCTCCCCCTTCCTCTTTCTTTTGGTGGTCGACTGGATTGTGAAGACCTCGACATCTGAGGGGAAACACGGCATACAATGAACATCTAAGAACCAATTAGACGATGTGGACTTCGCAGATGACCTAGCTCTCCTGTCCCATACACACGAACAAATGCAGATAAAGACGGCCAGTGTAGCAGCAGTCTCTGCATCAGTAGGCCTCAACATACACAAGAAGAAAACCAAGTTCTTCAAATACAACTGGGAGAACAGCAATTCAATCACTCTTGATGGTGAAACTCTGGAAGATGTAGAATCTTTCATATACCTGGGAAGCATCATCGATGAACAAGGCGGTTCAGATGCAGACGTAAAGGCGAGGATTGGCAAAGTAAGGGCAGTATTCCTACAGTTGAAGAACATATGGAACTCAAAACAACTTTCAACCAATATCAAAATCAGAATCTTCAATATGAACGTCAAGGCAGTCCTACTATACGGAGCTGAAACTTGGAGAACTAAAACAACCATCATCAAGAAGGTGCAAGTATTTATAAATAGTTGTCTACGCAAGATACTCAACATCCATTGACCGGATACTATCAGCAACAGCCTTCTCTGGGAGAGAACAAACCAGCTTCCAGCTGAAGAAATTAGGAAAAGACGATGGAGATGGATAGGACATACATTACGAAAATCATCAAACTGCATCACAAGGCAAGCCCCAGCTTGGAATCCCGAAGGGAAGCGGAAAAGAGGAAGGCCAAAGAACACATTACGTCGGGAAATCGAAGTAGATATGGAAAGGATGAATAATGACTGGAAGGAGCTGAAAAGGATTTTCCAGGACAGGGTTGGATGGAGAATGCTAGTGAGAGGCCTATGCACCTTCACGAATAACAGGCGTAAGTAGTAAACGTAATAACAATATCCGTAGCAGCAGATAACAGTAGGCATAGTGAATATGAATCAATAAGAATGAACTTGAGAAATAGAAGGTATAAGCACTTTAATACATAGAATAAGTGGATCTACACCATTGTGACCGATTGTGAGCCATGTCATCCATCTCCAATCACTCACTAAGACAATTGCAAGGACTCCAGCCATGTAATCTACAGTTGTCTACACGGCTCATTCCAACAGTCAATGAATTTATGGGCTGTGGCTTGATTTAGTAACACCTAGATTTCTTCCGGCTTACTCTTACGTCAACAATCACCACACATCGACATAGGCACCAAAGTCTAGAACCCACCTAAAATGAGATTCCCGGTCACAAAACCTAAGACATGATATCTCGAGAGAGGATGTTACACTAATGATATTAAATAAGAAAGAAAGATTAGTTCAGCGAAGAGTTCTCTTTTCGGAGAATTCATTTTCAAAGCTGTACAATCGCAAATATATATACTTATTTTTACAGGGTGATAATAATACTGATAATAAACTTGTTATACATGGTGACAGTGAGGTTAAATAAACAAAGGTAAAAAAATTTTTAAACAAGGAAAGTTTAATAATCGTTTGATAGTTAATGGCTGAAGTATTCATTGGGTAAGGATGGCTCAGCATGATAAAATAAAATATTGAAACAGAGATGAAATGTGATCGAAATGATCGTAAAAATAAAAACAAACCGGTCGGGGGTAGAAGATTTAAAGGGGAAGATGGAAGGTGAAGCAGGTGGTTGTAAGGGAACAAGAGTATGAAGAAAGAGAAAAGTCAAGAATTCAAGAACATTGTCCGGCGTGGCTAAAAAGAGGAGGCAACGGCTCAATAAGTTCTATAATCGAACACCTTGTGAACACAGGTCACTCAATCAAGACAGACTCTGCGTTCAAAGTCATCTACAAGCTAAGTAGAAGCCTTCCTTAAGCAATTAGACTGCATCTTCTTTGCATTGCCGAGGCAATAGCCATACATTTTGAAGAACCAGAATTATGTGTACAAAAGAGACTGGTACAACCTCTTCTTTTACCATGGTCTTAATGTATTAAAAATTTTTCTCTTTCTTCATACTCTTGTTCCCTTACAACCACCTGCTTCACCTTCCATCTTTCCCTTTAAATCTTCTACCCCCGACCGGTTTGTTTTTATTTTTACGATCATTTCGATCACATTTCATCTCTGTTTCAATATTTTATTTTATCATGCTGAGCCATCCTTACCCAATGAATACTTCAGCCATTAACTATCAAACGATTATTAAACTTTCCTTGTTTAAAAATTTTTTTACCTTTGTTTATTTAACCTCACTGTCACCATGTATAACAAGTTTATTATCAGTATTATTATCACCCTGTAAAAATAAGTATATATATTTGCGATTGTACAGCTTTGAAAATGAATTCTCCGAAAAGAGAACTCTTCGCTGAACTAATCTTTCTTATTTAATGTCATAATGGGTGTACACTGATTATAATCTAATGGATGAGAATATCCAACTTCAGTTCATTTATCATATAAAATATATATTCACTGCTAATGATGACTAAAATTTATCAAATTTTAAAAGCCTACCATAAACAGTAGCACAAGATGCTTGTTCAAACTTAGGGTTTCTAAAGCAACTAACAAACATTAATATATTTTTATCGGTCAAATAAAGTTTTACGCGACATTCCGAAAATTCACTAAATATGAGGTGTTCATTAAAAACTTGATCTTAAAAACAACTGAGAGCTTACCACATTTTTCGTAAAGCTTGGCAGTTTCATTAGCTAAACCAGCGATTAAATATGGTTTATGTTTTAATTCAATTGCTCTGGCAACAGTAACTGGAATATCAAAAAAGGGTATATTGTAAAGCTGGAGAGTTAATAAATTAAAACTTTAAAATAAGACATTGAGAAACAGATATGTGGAAAGAAAACACAAAGACGTACTTATAACGTAGGTATTTACCAAACGTTTTCACTCCATACACAATCCGTCAGAGACAAAGAACGTGAAGCAAATGTGTGTCAAATTAACTTGTTACACTTTTAATTTTTCAAATGTGTGATGGTTTATATTTCTCGACTGCCTGTACCACAGAAACACACTTCTTTATAAGTAACAGGATTTTTTTGGTTGGAGCGTGACTATGGGATCCAAAGAACAACCACTGAAGAATATTCACCCAGGACTGCTTAGTAAGGAAATATAGTAGTATTAACTCCTTATTTTTCGAATCGTAACACTGACACCGAAAACCTGTGGTGTTTTATATTCAAGGACTCTCTCTCTTTGATACCTCATTGCATCCGTGGGTATGAAGTATCACTGGATGGAAAATCGAGCAGGATCTCACGGTATACAAGATGTATCAAGGTTACTTTGTGAATCAAATACAAGTGTGAGTTGTTTCGAGTAAATTACTAAATTAACTGACGTCACTGTCTGTTTAACTTTGGCTAAACCGACCCCAAGTGCCCTGGTATGGCCGAGAGTGGGGTGGGCCTGCCCTCCTTCTCGAAATGCTCTCACACGGCCACGCGTATATAGCCTCTGCCAGGGAATTCCTACTCACTGCCTTCTCGTGGCAATACTGTTGTTTACGAAAATGAGAGGACGAAAAGCAAATGTCCAGCGCTTTAACTGGATTCCAAACCAATGGTGCACATGGGCTCCAGTATCCTGCGGGAACAAATGGCGTATGAACCAATTATTGGTCGCCGGCTTCCATGGAACTGCATCCCCTTACGATGCTCCACTGCCTTGTGGATCAGACCTTCAGGTCGAAGGCTCGGGGAGTGGTTCCCTAAGAAAACCACCTATTTCTGTTTGGGCACCCGGGCAGTATCACAGCCCTGACACATCGAATGAGATTTGTGTGGCGCATATATATTTGGTGCCCTCTTGTACCAATATTTATGTGTTGAAATAAAAATAATAATAAACCGACTCAATTACTCTTAAATACATGGGCTGTAAGTGCCTTTTTGGTTTACGGTATATAAATAGTGACTGACTTAATTAGAAGAGAATGACTTCTTAACTGATATTAGCCAACTTGTAGTTATCTCGAATAAATACTGGTCATTGAGACGGTGTATTCTTCGCCGTTCAGCTAGTCCCGCGTAAACAGTAATGTGATTATCTTAAAATTACAATCTTAATAAGAAATTCCTGCCTTTGAAATAAAGAGCCAAGTTATTGTTTACTGTTCTCTTAGAAATCTTTTGGACAAATTAGCGATTTATCAGAGTGGAGTAAAGAGTAGCCCTGGTTACTAAATTTTGTCCAGCCTACTTATGCTCTGAGCATTATTAAGGATCAACATAGGTAGTGTAGGTGTCATTACCAAGGTTTGATTTGATAATTTCGAATAAATTGAGCATTGGTAGTGGTTAGGTATGAGTATATAACCGATGTATGTCGAAGCAGATATTAACTACACTGATAAATAAATTCCTGGCTAATACGAGTGTACTGTTATCGATTTACAACAGTCATTCCCATAACTATAGATTATATAAGAGTAATCAGTGCTGCAGTAGACTCGCGTTGTGAGAACTAACCATATATGTAACCAATAAATCGGTAAAAGAATAACTAAAAACTAAAGTATGAGAATAAAAAGCATAACACTACTAACTTTCTTGAGCTTCTGCTAATGACTGATTTATATAAGCATCCAGAATATTTGGATCCATATCACTGTTTGGAACAAATTCTGTAAACTCATGCATATACTTTGTCCGTAATAAATTAAACAATCCAGCAGCTGTTTTAAGTGATAAATGAACATCCTTGGCTTCATCTTCCGAAACACTGGTTTTTATATAGATACATGGGAAATCAACGCTTACTTTTCGTTAGAAGCAACTTTTGCTGCATGTTTAGTATACCATAAAGCAACATTGAAAAGTACTGAGTATAATTCAAAGATAGAATCTGAGCGAACACTAAATAGATTAAGTTAGAAAATAAGCAAAAAGAACATTCACAAACATTGGTTCACCCTTCGGCTTTATACTGTCACACCATTTCACACAAACGAGACCTCTTAATTTACTGAACGGCGTTTTATTATCAGTTGCCACAACGAATCCCATTAATAACTGTAAATATCGATTCAAGGAAGTTATGACTGCTTCACATGGTACTGATGGATCCGATATTAACTTGAGAAGTTCAACACGACGTTTTGCAGCGTCACTAAAATCAAATGAATAAGCGAAAGGATGTAGTCTTGAAAAATCCAAACTTTCAAATGAGATAGAAATATATCAAGAAAAAAAATATAGGTGGGATGAATTGCCCAGAATTTTATAAAGTAAATTCTGATGTTAATTTTATGGAAAAGAAGTTTTGTCATTCAAAAGTTACTATTCAGCACTTAACATACTTCGATTAGTACTGAGGATAAGAAGACAAGTGTAACACAGGATTATTTGTTTCTTAATTAAATTGTCGTAGGAAAACTGCAAAACGTACTGCTCATGAGACAGGACTAAGCTGTATCGCTAAATTAAACTTAATAAGTAACTTATACTACACTAATAGCAAGGACTCTTGATGAACAGATATCTAAGAAACATATGGTTCCTATTTAGAAAGCCTGGTATCTTCTATATCAAAAATGTATAAGTACAACTACGAGTTAAGCTAGGTGTTGCAAAGGACTGGCTTCTGTCGGTCCTTCACGACTCCCTGGTTGGGGTCTGAGAGATGGTGCTATACAGTGGCTAGAGACGTTATCAGATATGGCTCAGAATAGAAGCCAGTGGCGATCCTGCTGTAACCTTCTTTTACTTTCTTCATAAAAAGTGGTTGTGTCTCCCTTACTTGAAAGATTTCTTCTGATTGTACCTTTCCGTCCCATCGTTACGACCGCACTACCTTTCACCAATCTCTTTGTTATCGTTCTCTTTTTCTTTTGTGCTCCTTAGTTTGTTTTTTTTTCTCTCTTCGAATTTTCATTGTTTTGTGTGGCGCATATATATTGGCGCTCTCTTGTACCAATATTTATGTGCTCAAATAAATAAATAAATGAATAGGTGTTGAGTGTAAGCAGCATAAGGAATTTAAAGCCATTGTCTTATTACACCGTTGAGTCAACTGCTTTTATGAAACCGGTGTTCGTCTTGCTTTGCTGATGAGGTATGGCAACTTGGACCGATGCGTGTATGTGTCCTACGTTGTACCTGACTGACATTATTTTCTAACCCCTTCTATTATATCGAAAAAATTAATGTTGTCCCAACAATTTGATATAGATTTTCAGAAAGTTTTGAAAACAAAAGATAATAATAGGTCTCATCAAACCCCAATGTGAATTTACATCCGTCAATACATCAGTTGGTCACTATAGAAACTACACAAATACGTATCTCATTAGAACAAAAGTTGAAAGGCAGAATAAATCAACTCTATTAGAAAAATGGACGTGAATGGTGAAAAAGAAGCGAATAAGATCAAACAATGGAAAGTATGCAGTGAGAGAAATCGACATTTAAAGGAAGATAGAAAAATCTATATAACTACGTAAATGGACCAATTTGGCACCATATCACTCAATGTCTTCAACTATAAATTACGACTGTTTTACGAATCTCAGCCAGTATTTATATATCACTACTCCTCAAGGGATAAATTGATAGTCGATTACTCAACAAGCTAATACTGTCTGGATCTATTCATCCCAAGCTTTTTCCCAACTTGATTCTATAGTATATCAAGGTAAGTGGTCAATGGATTGAATATGAATATGACCGAATACTTGTATTCCATGCATATCATCTACTGCTATATGGTAAGTTTCACAAATATATGGGAAGGTTGCCAAACGAAATAGATATTAATCAGTTAAAATAGTGACGAAAACTATGACAATTCATTATTGTCTTATTAAACAATAGACATACCTGCATAGAGTCTTGCAGCTTAAATCTTTAGCAACTGCACCAACGTCGAAAGTATACTTAGCAGTAGCCTTTAAGTGATTCCTATGAAACCAATCTGTCATTTTAGATGTCCTTAAACCACCATAAATACCGAATAAAGTCAAGACCAAAGAAGTGATTACTTCGTAGAAAACCCGACACTTCAAGTGGAAATATATTTAAGAACTGCAAAAAAAAAAAACAAATTGAATGATTATAACTAAATAACCTTCATGAATGTCTTGAATTGACATTAAGTGATTGTTCTTACTCATTCACACCCTAAATGACACTTGGAAAAATACAAACGTAACTGATGGAAATGCGATGTGCCGAAGCGACTCTATGTGAGAGAGTAACTTCAACAGAAGTCAAATACAAATTACGATCTGACCGAACCCTTGTACAAAAAGCACATTGGTTCAAAATAATGTGTCGAAACAACTTAGTAGACTTTAACAACACACAATGGTGCGAATAAATGACTGAATCCAGTGCAACGTAGAACCTGAATTACATACACTGTTGCAAGTGTCTGCGAAGCCTGTGGAAGTGGGCAGTAATTTAACAATCGTAAAATGTTGTCGAAATTACAGTGTCAGGACGGTTAATTGACAGTAAACTTAATAAACTTGGTCGTTTCCCTCAGAGAAACTTGAAAAATAATTCTTTTATACACAACCACAGGAAAACTAGGTCAGAAGTGGGGTATGTGGACAAGCGTATCGAATTTCGGCGCGAAAATATCACTCGCATTATAGCTTACGTCAGTTTGTGGTGAATACCATAGTAATCTCTAAACATGTGTTAGATAATCGCGTTTAAACCATCTCCCTACTAAAACGCTACGATCTTTTATCATAAATTATTTTATAACTAGAGGAAGTAAACTCTCCTAAAAGACACTTAAAGGGAGTCCATGTACTTTATTTACAATAAGGACTGGCTTTCAGAACCAAGCGTTGACATCATAATAAAAGGAACAGTAAATTTGAATTCGTAATTAGTAGACAGTTTTGTAACCTGCAAAGGGTGATAACATGTTGACATACCACAGCACAAAACAAAATATACCCAGCATTAAGAGGACTGAAAAAGCAACAATATGTAATAGAAGTACAAATATTTCGCACTGATTATTTGAGGTGTATTACGAACAATATATAAAGCGTTCTCAAAGCATTATTTTGAAGTTGAATACATAATTGGTCTTTTCTAGAAACTCTAATAGTGGATCACCGTTTATTACTTTTGCCTAAACGACCTTGGTGCAAATATAAACTCCGCAGAACACGGTCCAATGTCCGATGTATTCACACGAAGAATAACACCTACATCACAGAGATTTTTATATATATTAATATCACGAACTTCTCATACTGTTCTGGAAACTCTTTCATCACGTATTCTCCAACGAAATGATTAATTTTAAAAAGTGAACTATTGATTGATATAAAAAGTAATTCTCCCTTCAGTCCTTACTTTTTCTCTCGAATGTGAACGTTAATAACTTATCTAACATCAGCCTCATAACCTGCAAATGCTAAGTTGACTAATTTATAATATTTTTTCTAAATGGCTTATTAGTGAGGTTAAATCCTCGGAATTTCCTCACTATGCGATACAAGGTGTTATCATAGGTTTACTTTTCAGGATAATAATTTGCATATCTCCTTCAATGAAATATAGGAGATTACGGTGTGCCTCGAAGTCACATTACACCGTTTGGTGGATTTTTGGAGTATTAGATAAATAGAGATAATAATATGCAGCAATTTTTTTGCTACTTCGGGTCAAGTCAGTTCGATTTTTTCTTTCTTGATGGGTTTGGCTATGATTTGACATTGAAAACCGATGGTGGAAATTTTGTTCCATTTCAAATTGTGACCATGACTAAGATTTTACGGGCCTTACCAAACTCTTTCGCCATCATTCTTCGTGCAACTTCAGTACCACTCCCTAGCCTCTAGTCGTTCCTTAGCCGTTGAACTAGCAGTTGATATCTATCTCGAGATGTTCCAGATGATTTGTCGAGATCTGTTTTATTAACGGAAACAAATCTAAGCACGTATAACATTTTGCGTCCTATTTAATTAAAATGTGTATAACACCGTTTATTCAGTAATCAACCTTAAATAAAGAGGCTGCAACCTAAAAAATTGTTTAACGATTCTTCCGTCCGATCTTAAATAAGAACGTGGATAGGTAACTTTTTAAGCTTAACAATTGTGTGTTATAGTTTCCAGGATCATTCCTCAGCGATCGATGCGTCAGATGCTACCTTTCATTGACATTTTTCGCTATATTTCAACATGGACCTGTCAGGGAACATAAATTAATAGCATTATTCTTCGTTTGTTGGATAGTGTGGAAAGCAATACAACTTGATAGTGAACACAATCTCTGTGTACTAAAAGTTACTTAAAATAATCAGTACCTGGATTGCTTTAAATTTAATGCGTTACACCCAGGCCAGTGTGATAATTACAATTTGAACTTGAACTTATTAGTGAATAGCATTTTTACACGATTTTCAGCCCATATATGGGCTGTTTAAATCCGATTCGCAAGTGAAAATATACAGCCTTTTTCAAGTGAACTCTCACAAAGCTCTTGTGAATGACACATCTGAACTTGGTTAACATATGCTACATTATAACTTGAAAACAATAATTGTATTAGCAATGAATCATAGATGACAGATCTGTAATGCATTTTTATGGCTCATTAATTATCAGTATTGTATCATACACACTACTCCTTGTAGTAATAGTACACATAAACTTAAGTAACAATTGTTCAACAAAATATTAGTGCGCCAATTAAAAGGACAGTGTAATTTTTCCTCGCTGAGTAAATTCTATTTGTTATGGCCTTGGATGTCTGCCTTTTTCTATCACACGAATTCATCTACCAATCCGAATACGACTTATACGAATCTTCACACTAGGCCAACCAATGAAGTTCAACCGGTGTGGGCAGTCTAGCGTCTTATTGGTCCTAGGTCCCTTTAGTCCGTCTACTTGAGTCCAAGACACAATTCCAGATTCGAATCGTTTATTTCAAACATACTCGGTTTATATATCAACTAGACAGACCACAACGTACCATAAATTAGAAAATAACATGTGTACACAAATAAGCCAAAAAGTGACTGTGAACGAGGGGGACAGTAATTAATAGACTGAACATAGATTAAGAACCGTAAATCGTACAATAGTAAATTATAGATCAAAATAATTCTTTTAATAAGAGGAATATAAATTTATATAATCTAATTATTCAATAGTTTAACAATAAGAATATTTATAGAATATTAGTTCATTATTATTCCTCGGGAGTTACCTGTAATTTAATCTTCGCTCGGATATAACACTATTGTTTTGATCGTTTATTACGTATCGAGACTGCTGTTTTCACTTTAATTGAATGTATTTCAGTTAAAGTGTTCGATTGTAGTATCGTTTCGGTTTCTACAGTAGTTTGTCGTCGGTACTTTCGAGTACTTTGTTTTCTATTGTATCTGTTAATACTTTTAGTTCTAACAATCTACAGTTTTCCACTTTCTTTGGTCATAGATCATTTTTGTCCCTGAGTATTACCGCATCTTGTTTTTTTTTTAAATCTCTGTCTGATGACTGGACAGTGCTAAAAGAGCAATTGCCAACAACCGGGCTGTCATTATCCCGTTGAAAGTGTCATGCAGTGCGATGAATGCAAATGCTGACACCACAAAGTTTGCACAAATTTAACGATCGCGGCTTTCAAACGGTTCAGTACTGTTCGGATTTGTAAATGCAGCAAAAAAGTGTTTTAGCATGCGTGGTCGGGACACATTGATTAGTACTCGCCCTGTCGACAAGCAAATCGGTGTGAAGCAAACTCAGGTGACTCACACCGACCAAAGGAGGAAAAAAAGTCTTCAAAAATATCCGTCTTATCTAAAACTCAGGAAAAGAAGTTCCTTCCGTCCCGCATCTTCTAAATGGTATCCATCAGGAAACGCCTAGAAGCCGCGATCGCAAGGCTTGATCGGTTCCTAGCGGGAAACATAACCTGACCTCCCAAATCGTCGACAACCCTCCGGAATGCCACAGTATGTTTGACGCGACCGTGGTTGCTTCTCCAAGCAACGTTGATGAATAGGTAGAGGTTGTAAGGAAGAAACAACATAACGATATAAATGGGAATCTTGCCCCCGTAAAAGTAGTCGAGCAGTCGAAGGCTGATCACAGTGAAAGATCAGTTATTTTTAATAGAGTCAAGGAGAGCGAAAGCTCTGAACCAAAAATTCGTTTTGAGCATGACAGTGTGCTGATAAAATAGCTGCTTAATCAACTCATGCCTCATAATATCTCCGGAGTCACCTTGCTAACGGTGTGCAGACTAGTTAGTCTGGCGTACTAGAATTTTAATCAACAAGGACTACTTAAAGTAGTATTCAAATCTTTGGATGAACGTGACTTAATTTTACAGAATGGACATAAATTAAAGGGTTCAGCAGTTTTTATCCGTAATGACCTGCCGTTGGTTAACCGTTTAAAAAAGATGGGAAGCCGAAAAAGAACTAGAACTTAGGTTAGACGCTGACGAAATAAGACATGAAAGTTGTAAATTTACGGGTTGTAAGGCTTCGACAGAAAATGATGCCTAAGCCACTATGGGTGAAGCACGAAGTCACTTAAATAAGCTTCGGATCTGTTGCACTAATGCCCGAAGCTGACTCAATAAGCAATAGGATATAGGTGCGCAGATTGACTCTACAAAGCCAGACATAATCGCAGTCACAGATACCTGACTGACTCAGCCTGTAGATAGTATGGAACATGATTTCGAGGGTTTTACGTTAGTAAGAGCCGGCAGAATACAAAAGCGTATGGAAGAGGGAGTAGCTCTATTCATTAGGAATGCTATCCCATTTGCTATTATCGACAGTGTATCCCATGAGAGTGGGACGTGTGAATTAGTTAGTTGTCGCTTGAAATGCAAGGGACAAGAGCTGCTGATTGGTTTGGTCTATCGCAGTCCAAGCTGTGAGGTAAATGAGATCCTGCTAAGCAGTCTCAATACTTGGTCACAAAGTGATCAATGTCTAATCATAGGGGACTTCACTGCACCTAAGTTAGATTGGAAAAATCTGCGAACTGAATCGTCAGAAAATTCCTTCAAGCAGAAACTAGTTGATGCGGTTATCACATGTGCCATAGTGCAACATGTGAAAGAAGTTACTCGGTACGACCCGGACACTGGCATTGAGCCCTAATCACACAATTCTCAAAGCTGAACACGGGACAACTGGGAAAATAGATATTCAACATCGAACTTGGAGAGAAACCCAACGATGGAGAAGGCAGAAGAATTGAATCAAGTAGTTCGAGTTGGTCGAATGACGTGGTCCTTCTTATGTAACAGTCTTTTACCTACATTAAATATACTGACCTATCTGCAGCCTAAATGCATTCTTCATCATATGTTGATGATTGTTGCGATACGAATGAGTCAGGGTAGATAATGATGTGACATCCACGTAAGATCTTCTAGATTAGATAGTAACATCATGACAAATCTACAATTTTAAGATTATTTCTATCATTAGAGCAGTACTAATATCGGAGTAGACCATAATTCTTCCAAAAATCCATCTTTTGCTTTCTGTGGGTGACATGCATACCATCAATATAGGTAATCAGTCTCAATGATTAGGGTCTGTTTGGGTTGAACGGGAATGATGTAACCTAACAGCTTACGTAGAAAACACACCTCACAGTTAACATCTAACATTAATAAGTCTATGTTGGTTACAGGCTCTGTGGTCTCATTGACAACCGTGTACAACACAGCGTTACTGAGAAATGTGTAATGAGAGAAAACTGGGGAAGTGAATATTAGAGCGACTACCATATGCGTCGGCTTATGATGGTCAGTTTATAAACTCACATTGGCTATCCTTCTTCTCAGTGATGTTTGATATTCTCCAATGATCAGTAACTTCTCGTCTGACGTAGAATTTGTCCAGCTTAATGGATGATTTGACTAGAGCTCAGTGATGATGGCCTTGCAGACATGTCAAAAAACCTGAAAAGAGGTAAATATAGCCAGTAACGTAAGATAAAAAATGGTGTTTTACATATATACCACGTTCATTAATTTTGTTCCATTCAATGAACCTTAATTCTTTGGGGCGCTATATTGTGTACCGCGAGGTCGCTACTCCAAATTCTACCGATTGACCAAATCCAGATATCCCAGTATGACCAAAATACTGTTCTTCAATCTCCAATATATCAAAACGCTAACCG